TATTTTGTTGAAATTCAAAAGCAAGACAGACAGACAGACATGGAACATGGAGAAACACAGACAGTATGACTGCAAAAATTGATTATTTCTCCCCGAGCATAAAGGAACTGCCAGGGTTGGAAAGGCAGAGAACCAATGACTGGCTGCTCTAGTTTCTAATCACACTATATAGTTTTACCAGAGCTCTGCAATTCCACCGCCTGAACAGAAGGATGTTGAAGCAGAGTATCACAGGACAGATTTAGTATTCAGTGCTCTTTGCTAGCTTTCTCTCTGAAGAATAGGAATATTTTAAAAAGGGTTTGATAGAGTCAGTTGGACCTGGGAAGGTGTATCATTGGGTGTTAACAGTGGATTGAAAATATTCATATGATACTTAAATCTTTCTGCCACTGTATTTTCCACATCCATCATCCACCCCTATCTTTTTGTACTTTCTGTGACTTTAGTGCCAACAGAAATATCAATCGTAAACGGCTTTTAATAACTCCCTAGCCCCTGCACCTATCCTGACAAGTTGTTGGCTTCTTGCCTAGTGATATCTCTGTTATGTATGCCATTTTCATACAAAAAACAGGGGAAAGAAGGGTATCAAGTGGACATAAAAATGCGAATAGCAGCTTTCACAACCTACCCTTTGGACACTTTGTAGGGGTTTTGTTTTGTTTTTGTTTTGTTTTTATTTCAGGGCACCTTTATGCTGTTTATCATTTTCATAACAAAAAACACAGCTGGCTAAGCACAGGGAAGGGAAGGGAAGGGAAGGGAAGGGAAGGGAAGGGAAGGGAAGGGAAGAGCACAGACAGACATGCATTTAAGCACAAAACTGATTTTTTTTTTATTTTGGCTTTTTCAGTCCAATCTTGCTTATATCAGTCACTTCTAGATATCTACCTGCATGCACCAACATTCAGTTTAAAGCAATCCTGACAGGAGGTAGCCATATTGCTAAAATATCTAATCTTTGGATGATCCAAAGATTTCAACTACTTTGTCCATAAATGAAAATTCCTGACATGATGCCAGATACATGAGCCTAGTAAAACACCTGTACAAATTTTCACTCCCTGCTCTAGTATAAAGAAATAATGCTACTTCTGGAACAATTTAAGTGCAATGGTTATGCCATTCTTTCATGTGAGTACATCGGCATGCATAAGCAGTACAAGCGTGCTTTCTAAAAGAATGCATGGAACTCTTGTGGCCTAGAAGAATAGTGCCAGTGACAAGGGCTTTGGAATGTTTTCTAATATGGATTAAGTTGTTTACAGAAAAATTATGATTCCTTTTCTTGGAAGAAAAATCACATACTTGCTACACTTCACTGCATCACATATTTTGAATAAGAACCATTTTCTCAAGAAATTGAAAGCCGATGTATGATGTACAGAGGCATATTATCAGAATGAAAACATAAATGAGTACAAAGAAAGTTTGGAATGAGACTATAGAGGACTTTGTTGCCCAATGATCAAACTAGATGCAACACAGAGAGCCACAATTTCTTTGTAAGTGGTTCAGATCTGTTCTAGAGCTAGAAAAGTTGCAGTAAAGGACAATCAAAATGATCAGGAGGCAGGTCAACTTCCCTACAAGGCAAGGTTCAGTTTGGGCTCTCAAGTTTCCAAAAAAAGGCAAATATGAGGAGACAACAGAAACATAAAAATCATGCATGCTACAGTAAGAGTAAACAGAGCAATGTCTTTCTCCCTTCCACATCAGTACTAGAATGCAGGGTCATCCAGTGAAGCTGAATGATGGGAAATTCAGCCTGTTCTCCCCACAGCAGCTAGTTAAATGAATTTCCTACCACAGGTTAGAGTGATGGCCACCAACTTGGGCAGCTTTAAGACAGAAAATTCGTGGAGACTAGGGCTGTTCCAGTCTCCAGTGCCAGAGCAGCTATGCTTCTGTATGCCAGTTGCTGGAGAATATAAATAGGAGGAAGCTGCTGCATCCATGTCCTTTTGGGGAATCCATATAGACATGTGGTATAAAAAGAATGCTGGAGAGACCTTTGCTCTTTTTATGTGCGTCCTTTGTAAGATTAGCAGACTCGATTTGTTGTAAGACAAATGAGTTTTGGATATCAAGGGTATCCTCTTAGAGGATACAAATGAGTCATGCTCTGAAAGGTGAGGAACTGAGCAACTATGTGAAAAATTATTTGGATAGTTAATCTTCCTATTTCTGAAGGAGTCATGTACAACAGCTCTGTGCACTGAACAGAAATGGGGAGCAGGGAATTGTAGAAGCACCCAATCCATAAAACCAAGTCTGCTGTAATACATTTGCTGCTGAGCTAATTTGGAAATCCCAGCTCAATTCTCCAGGCGAGTAAGTATGCATAAGGCCCAAAGCTGGACATATACTTTTACTACCTAAGGCAGAAAATCTCAGCAGTACCCTTCCACCTATTCAGTGATAGAAATATGATCATAAGAAAAATGAGTATCAATTTGCTGTCCTTTGACATCTCAAGTCAGCCATTTAAAGGTTGCCGCACTTTGCCGGATGGTCTGATCCACCCTGGACAAGGCAATAAAAAAGAAGCCAAGGGGAACGTGACTCCAATTGAAACAACATCTGATTAAGGTTTTAACTTCAAGCAAAAGGAAGTTAGAGAGATATCAAAAAGTTATTTTCTTGGCTATGGATAGCAGTTGAAAGAAAAATAAGCCGAGATCTTTGCTTCCAGAGATGCAGGTTTGTGCTATGCACAGATGTGTTCATGCAACTGGATGCAACATTATACAAACCAGAATTTCTAAAAAACATACATTTATAATTGTGCTCAAAATTCTCCTTGTTTTGACTTTATTGTACAGATACTAGACAGGACCATTTTACTTCCTGATAATGTGTTCCATTTTATTTGGATGGGGTCCATATAGTCTCCAATTTCCTTCTTCCTTTGTAGCACTCTTCAGAATCCTTTGTTTAGAAGAAGAATGTCTTATAGAAGCCAGATAATACAAGCACTTTTCTTTAATTTACTTCTTTGTCTGTGTGTCTCTCATATTAAAAAGCCAGACTGAATTTAAACCATCAGGGATTTTTTTTCTTCCATTGACATCTCAGCTCCCTCTGGAATTAATTCTGAATCCTTTGCCATTAAGAGTCATGAAAAAGATTAGCATTCAGATTGGGCTTTTAAAACAAAATGTTTGAATAATTTTGGACACTTTTTTCCTTGCTATGTACTTGCCCAGGAATTGCAGGAGGAAAAAACTAGGGATGCCCAATCAGACACACCAAGTTAGCTCAAAAGACATTTATAAATACTTGCAGCTGAGTGGGGAAGGTTGGAAACCCTTTTGTTTTGGCTCTGCTAGTTCTCTTGGACTGTTTTCTTTATTGCGGTAGAAATCTACAAAGGGTTTGTAACCTCCTATAGCAAGATGCTGGATGTTCTTTGTTCTCTATAAAATGCTACTTTCTCTTCTCATACTTCTGCTCCTGACCACAACTGATACACTGAGGAGAAAATGAAAGCCCAACATCAAGAGGCTTTGGCAGGTCATATAAAATGGTGAGATTACAATGCATTTATGGTGATCACTTTGGTGCCTTCATTTTTGGCTGCTCCTCCCAAATGATTAGGACTGGAAGGAATAGGAGAGACTGAAGAGCATAGGAATGTTCATCTCCAAATCAACCCAGTAGAGCATGCTTTTCAAGCAATACCCATACTGTCTTCCTAAAACAAAAAAATTGAAATAGGTGATGATATGCATGTGTTCATTTACATATTATTCCATTTATAGCTGACAGTTTTTTCCTCTTGCAAGGAACCCAAGGCTGCTTACATAGTCCTCCTCCTCCCCCCCATTTTTCACATTCTATTTTATCTCCACAACTACCTTACGAGGTAAGAGTTGTGAGAGTGACTGACTGACCCAAAATCACACAGCAAACTTCTAATACCACTGGTGCATCTAATGTATAACATTCACATTCATTCTTAATTATAAGGTTTCATGAAAATCAATGGTACTTTTAACTGGGAACTTTAGTCACTGGGGAAGAAACACTATCCAGGGTAAGACTCTATGTGCTTTAGTTTAATCAGTTTCTGCCTAATACTTCTATTCTTTTCTTTTAGAGAAAAACAGAACCTGCAAAAGCAGAATTGCACTTACCTGTCAGTTTTTAGAACTGCTTTCCCTGCTGTTACATGTATGGTACCTGCACACAGACAGATCCAGTCACACAAACCTTTCAGAGCCCTCCCCAATTCTTTTGGTGCCAGCATCTCAACTGAGGAACAGGAAAAGCACCTTACCTCTCAGTTCTCTCTGGCACAGGTTAAGCCATGAATGAAAGTGGCTGCTGCAGAAGGGAAAATATGACTGCACAGAAATAAAATCAGCTGAAATCAGAAATTACAAGTGCAATGCTTATTTTCTCTTCTGCAGCTTATACACAAAATATAAAACTAGCTTTTGAAGGAAAGTGTTGAGGCCCTGCCACAGAAGGATACTCTGCATGGCATCCTCTTCAGTGGAGCAGTGCTTTGCCATTGTCAATGGAGGGACAACCAGTCCCCACTGTAAATCATGTGCTATTGGAACATATGCAAAGTGCTGCTGAAAATGTGGTGGAATGAACACAGATCTTCACTGGAACCATCCAGCCAAGCAGGACTACAAATTATGGGTGTTATTCAGCCTACAATGGCTCTGGACCTTTGCCTTTGAGAAAGGGGCTTTTGCCTTCTCTTAAAGTCGATGTTTCTATCAGGGAGAGGAAAGTTCCATGCTCGCCAACCCAAATGCATGTTTTCCCGCCTCTTGGAAGTCTCTTTCCCAGCCTTGAAGGGGCTGCCAGTGGTTCTTTTCAGAAGAGAAGGCTCACCAATCCACCTTCTAAGGTCGGAGTACTGCCTCCAGTCTCTAATCTGGAAACCCAAAATCCCTTAATGTGTTATTGTAAGTAATCCCTATAGCATTGTATGTAATGGCTTTGAAGGGTTTATGATTAATATAATGCATACATAATTGTGGCTTTAATATTTTATTTCAGTGTCATTGTATGTTATGCTGAATATGTAACTTGTACAACTACTTGACATTAACCAAAATGTGAACTAGGTTGCATAGGTCAGTACTTCAGGCAGCAGAAAATGGCTTCAGTTCATTGAAGCATCAAGAGTCACAGTGTACAAGGGGAAAACAGGATTGAAAGCATTTCTAATAAAATATATTTTAATAGCAGGTGTTATCCTTTTGTATAACAAAAGCCAAATTATGTCAATATATCACATGATCCATTAAAATTCCCTGCCCCACTGAGCAACAGAGCTTCCCAAATAATTTCATACTCCCGTTTTTGCAAAATGACTTAGGTATATGCATTTTAAGCAAATATACATTGAACTATAGCAGGTAATGTATTTATTTTTTTGCTTTTATAAACTGCAGAAACCAGTAGATTTGTTTCACATCATGCTAACCAAATACAAGTCAGTAAAAAATTATTTCTGGTGGTTTAGCAATTTGTACTTTGCTGTGTTGAAGTACATAGGACTGTAATGATATCTTGTAATGATACAGCACATAACTTATGATCTCTCTAACTGAAAATGTTTCATTGCAATTTGATTACATCATACATACAATATGCAATCCCTATATATCAGACACCAAAGAAGCACATGACATTCCTTCAAATGTGCTGCAGTACTGCAGGTAGTTCTAGAAGGAAAAAAAAGTCCAGCTGTCTATCCACAGGGATTCAATTTTTGAAGTTCTTGCAGTTTAACCTTTGGATCCAGAGAAGGAACACAGATGCCAACATAATGCTTGCTCTTTTTCATATGAAAATGGCTGCCTTGATAATTGTGAATGGGCCCATGCTGATATTTCTGCCTAACTGGAAGAGTATAGGCTTAGCAAAAAGGACTCAAAATAATATTTAATGACATTTCCCTTAGAATAGGATTGCCAGCTTGCAATTAAACCTTCCGTGTGGAGAGGGTGCAGAAATGGATCCCTGTGGACCAGCATTAGAGTAGCAATGGTGACAGGCATCCAACACTGCATACCTGAAGCACCTGTTCCCAATCTGGTGCCCTCCCTGTGCGTTAGGCTACAATTTCTCCCACCTGCAGCTTGCGTGGCCATTGGAAATGATGGGAGGTAGCATTCCACATAGCTGGAAGGAATTGGGGTGAGGAATGCCAACCTGGACTGTAGATCTAGAAAACAAATAGTATGAAGTAAAAATAACAGCCTTCCCTTTGTTTTTCTACAACTGGCCTGAAAACGAATAATCTGGCCATGTCAGGTTGTTTAATGGCTGAGTGGCAGTCCTGCTTTAGAATTCCATGGGAAGAGTTTAGGGAAGAGACAGAGAGACAGCTAGAACCAAGCCAGCAGTTTGAACTTCGGTAGGCAGAGTCAGCTAAAACTTAGCTTTAACTGTTTTATGGGAGACCTGATGCAGTATTTGTGATTGTGCAGCCTGAAGTGCCGTCTGCTTCCTTTCAATATACTCGGTGACTTGCAAACAGATATTTCTAGTGTATGATTTCTTCCTCTCTATCTCTGTCATATGCAATGAATATTAAACCTTGCAGCACTAGTTTTGGACTAGGAATGCGCAATGGCACTGGATGAAACTGCTTGATACTAAGACGAATGCTTAGTCCATCCAACCCAGCACATTCTTTGTCCATCAGCAGCCATCCAAAGTCTCAGGCAGAGGTGTTTCTTAGCTCTGCCTTGGATCCTGTCAACTGCTGTTGCCAAAGGCTGAAGCTTTAGCATGGAAAACTCCTGCTTCATCACAAAGCTGTGATGGCAGTTTCTCCTTCCAAAAAGCCATGCAGGTCTTTAAGCCTGTCTCCTTCTGGGGAGGGTTGTTGACCCACCTGCATCACAAAAAGAAAGTGATGCACTGGCTACACACATCAGCCTCATCCCCTTGGACATGGCCCTCTTTGGCTCTTGATCTAATAAACTGAAGAAGGGTTGATAAAGTGTTGTATAGTGCTAAATAATTTTAATTTGGCAGAAGTTTGCATTCATTAGCAAAAACCACTGGATTGTGTCTAGTAAGCTAGAGGAATTCTGTGCCACTGACTGGATTCACCAAGCTATTTAAACATTGAACTTTATCCAGTATTTAACAGTAGAATGTTATTCCAAACACCTAAGACCTAGAAGATTTTAATTTACCATTAAGCTAGGTCTTGCTGAAGTGTAATCATTTTCAGATGAAGAGCAAGTTACAGGTATTGTACAAGGAAAAATTTAAACACCCAAGAATTTGAAATATTTCTTAGCTCTCTAGAAGGCCTCTTGGGGTTGGGCACCTGAATGCTAGCTTTTAAAGGACTAGTTTAAAGGTAGCCTAATTTTAAAACTAGAATTGAGTTTATGAATATTCACAAAGAGAGTCATTTCAGACATTCTAGGTGATAAAGTTGCAACAAGAAACCATTTTTACAATGACATAGCCCAGCAAATAGACACCTGCAATCACATGGAAAGTCTCCATGTTTGCACTATCATGATTTGAAGATGGTACAGGCATCCCATGTGGATCTTTGCATCTTCAGTCAAAAAAAGCCCTACAACTCCCAGCACTGCCCAGTCAGCTATACTGAGAGTTTCCTGTCTACATATGCCTAGAATCATGTCCTTAATAAATGTTACAGGCTTGCAAACAGTTCCTAAGAGGTGTACACTATCTATGCAATACATTAGGCAACCCCTGTTCATACAGAGCATGGCTCATTAGTAGGAAAATGGCATTATAGCATTTATTCAGGACTAGTATCAATTAGTGGAAAATATTTTTCAAGAACAATCACCACTATTTTATTTAAAATAACTGTCATTTATCCCTTGCAATTTAATGTGACATGTAAGAATAACATAAAACTGCATATACATCAGCATGTTGTATATATAACATAAAAGATGGTTGGGCAGGTAGTTCATTTTGCCTAACTATGAACTACCTGTGCAATGCAAAACAGATGACCTGAATTGTACGTCTGAACAGCACTATTCACTTACAAGGTTTGTCGCTCAAGGGACTAAATCCAGAATTCCCCCATATATTTATCTCATCAGAGGACAGAACCCATTCAAAAAGGTGTCTAACACCCATGGCCACCTGACACTTTCAGAATCTTGAATGAAAAGAATAGTTTTTGTGGAGGATTTTATTGGCTTCTGTTGAGAATCTGATTTCCTGCCTGACCTTGTAAGTGTACATGCAGCATTGTTCTATCACCATACTACAGCATTAAAAAAACCCAAACCATTGCAAATTAATAAGAATTCATAAATTACAGAAAACAATTCTTCATTGAAATGTGAAGAAAAATATAATTTTACAAGCTTAATAATATTTTGGCAAGTATGGCCATAGACATATCGCTATGTGTTATGAAGAGCCTTCTTCGTCTGCCTTTAGCCGTGGCTTAACTCGCTAACCTGCATGCAGTATGCAATAGGAGACTTCCATTTTCCAAGCTGATGAAACCACTACTCTGGATGGGGTGAAGAGGCACCACTTTTTAAGGGCTAGGAGGGGACATCAATGTAACTGATACTGTAATGGAAATAATTACATTTTGCAACAGAAATCATTTTTAGTGTTAATCATTTTGTCATGAAATCAATGTAACTATAAATGTAGAGGTCGCTTAGGGTACATGCAACATTCCTGTTGCAATTCAGCAAGGCCACCACAGAGAGAAAACTGCATGTAGACAGTCGCTGTAGAGAATGGGTGTGTAGTCAGCACATGCGATCATCTACAGATGGTTTCATGCCCTTTTCTCCCCTACACAGAAACGCTTTCCATGTAAAAAATGCACACACATTCAAAGTAGCTTAAAAAATAAATAGGATTAAGATTCAACATACTAGAATTACCTGACTGCATATTTCTTTCCCCTGACACTTCTGAATTCCAAACACCTTCTTTCTGAGTAGGAAGAATCCAATACATACTCTATTTTTTATCATGACATTCCTGAAGACTGCCATCATCATTTAATTACTTGGGAAGAATCAGTTTTATAAGGGAAGTATATAGAATTAGTACAATACAGAGAGAAATGGAAATGCCTCCTGATGTTTCCAAAGATGGTGGTAATAGCTAGCATCTATAGGATGGATCCAGAAAAGACCGTTTTGTTGGGACTGTGTTGAAAGAAAAGTGAAACTTCCTCTCACCATCCCCTTAATGTTCCCAAAGCTGCTCAGGCTCTCCCTTAGCTGCTAGCAGCATAACAAAAATGCATGCATTAATTGCATTCAGGCAACTAATTTCACACATCTAGTTTGCACAGGGCCACTGACCTTCCACATGCACAGTGGGATTTTAAATTGGCAGTGGCGAATGACAGAAATGGCTAAAGCAAATGTTCACATGATAAGGTGGTAATGCACACCCATGCAAAGAAAGTTCCCCTCTGTTCTTCACAGCAATTTTTGATGTCAAGGGGAGGTTGTGAGGAAACTCCTTCAAAACAAGCAGCTTCCTGCATCCCATGAGAGGACTGCTCTATGTCATCTTCTAACCACATGAATCAGCCACTAGTTTCTTTTATTTATGCCTGATTGGCTCTCCCTGGCCTTGTCCTATCTACAGTAACACCCACTGAACTGCCCAAGTCAAACTGTGCAGTTCAGTGTCTACCTCTATTACATAAAAATGGTCAGGAGACAGAACAGCTACTGATCTGGACAGAAATTTATTTTTCTTGCATTAGATAAAGCAGAATACTAGAAATGCCGGACTTTCTATTCCATTCTTTGATCTCTGTACTTAAAACTTCATGCTAAAAGAAACATATTACTGTGATTTCTGGAGCACAGCTCTCTAAAAGCAGTTAACATATGATAAAAAGTAAAAATATACACAATGGACCCATCATGCCTTCAAGAGCCTACATACCCGAGGTTACAGTGAATTGATGCCATTAGCAAATGACATCTAGCCCTTAGAAAGAGCTTTATTTGACATTTCCCTCTATCTGACCTGAATTTAGGTGGGGGGGATCTGCTCTGATTTGATTTATATAGCAAAAGTAAAAGTCATATGATTATAAATAGCCATACTTTCACAGCACTAACATTTGAACTGAGTAGATAGAAAAATAGGTTCTTTCCATTGGAGAGCTTTCCTAAATATTCGGACACTACAAATGTAGAACAGAAGTAACTGGCATGGTTTTTTGCATAAACAATTAGGAAAACGACTCAGCAAATTTGCTTCTACATTTACTTGTTTGGATTAAGAAGAATGCCCTTGATTGGGGAATATACTCTGACAGCTAAAATCAGTTATAATTGCTCAAACTATTTCCTCATTTTCTGGTCTTTTAATTTGTTTGGACAGAAGATACCACTGGGTACATAATAACAGACTGGATCCATTGGTTTTCTTCATCCAACAGAACACAGCCTCCAAAAGGAATCCTTCTGTGGCACTAAAGAAATCTTTGGATCCACACCAATAATAATTAACACTTATGAGATGTTTTAGAAGATGCTATATAAAATACTTCAAATATTATTTTGCAGTAAACCTTACAAAATCCCTGTAAGGTAACTCAGTATTATTATTCCTATTTGCAGACAGAGGTTGAGCAACAGTGTTTTATCTGAAGTTAGCTATTGAGGTTGTGGCAAAGCCAAGATCCAAATTATGGACTTCTTGATTCATGGCTCACAAAGTCCTTTTTCTTCATACATGTACTGCATTTTTATATTGCCCAACAGCAAAGCTGCCTGGGGGATTCATAAACATTAAACACCTTAGAGAGCTGGAGGGATTTGGATGCTGTGTGTGGCACATCCACTCCTGAAACCTAAGATACCCCCATGGAAAGCTGTTCCATTGGATCCAGAGTCCTTCTTTTCCCATATGGGATCCCCTGATCAAGCTCCTTAAGCTGGCATGAATGTTTTTCCATGTTTCATTTTGCCTTGCATTTAAATGCATGGGAAAATCATTGGAAGAAAAACCTGGAAGGAAATTGTCCTACCCCTTGCCCCTGGCACTCATGTTCCAACAAAGCTGTAGACACTATTACACCTCTGTGACAATCTCTCCCTCTGCTCAACTTTGAACTGCTCTATCTTTCTGTTACCCACTATGCTATACCAGTTTTTGCCAACTCCAAAAAACACTAAGAGTTTTGTTATGTCATTAATATTATTTAGAACTAAGATGCTAAATATATTTTCACCAAGCCAATGGATGGCATACTTTTTAATTGCTGGAAATTGTATTTATTATTTTCCAATGTTTTGCAAAGGCAAATTTCCCAGATTACTGAACAAATAAAAGCATGGAAAATCTATTAAAAGTATATTCTTCTTTTCTTCAACTAAGCCTGACCAAAAGATGGGTGGGAGGGTGGGAAATCGCACTGCTTGTCAATCAAGTTCCAAATCCAAGTCCAAATTCATAACCTCCACAACTAATCCATTACATTGTTAGAAGTAAGGGTTACAGCCAGTCACTTTACAACACTCTGCATTATAAGATTCCCAAGCCAGACTCCTGACCAAAGAAGAGATTAGAGACAGAAGTTATTGGTAAAGTGCCTTGAAGATAGTCATTTGAATATAACCAATATTAGTTCAAGGGAAAATAGATTTAATAAATGGGTTGGCATTAACAAAATAGAACAGATAGGAATTAACAAATGCATTCAAAAATTATCTCTAGCTGTGCAAAAAGGCACCACTAAGTCAGAACTCAGAACTAATTCACAACTGGTGGTCTGGGGAAAACTGACACGAAGTGGGACTATGGATGACATCAAATAAGAGAGCAGGGAAGAATACAGTAGACTGGACAATTGTATATGAAGAAATTTTCCCCATTATTAACAAGATACATTTTGTTTAAGGCTGCCAGGCAGTAGTAAGCAACTTCTGATCATGTCATTAATCACAACAAATATATATATATATATATATATATATATATATATATATATATATATATATTCAGTTCACTGTGAATTTTAATGGCTAAAACTTTAACAGCAAGCTATAACCTCTTGCAATTTCAAAGTTGCATGATCAAAAATCAGGTGCTTTGTGGTTCTAATTTAAATGAGAAATATAGCCTACTGTAATGGCAGAATTCTATTTGGGAGCTAATTGATAGAAACCTTTATATGTTTACAAGCACCAGGTTTCCAGTTTCCACTGACAGTTTTTATAGATCTTTTTAAACAGCGTGCGTTTGGAGCTCAGTGCTTCTTGGTTTTCTCAGAGGACCTGTGTGTTGACTTCAGCATATGAGCACAGATTGTTACATTAACAGGGAAGTAATGAAGATTGTTGTTTTAAAAGTACTTTTGTAAAGGTTAGATAAATCAAAATAAAGCTCAGAAGGACTAATGGTGAGTATTAATTAACAAACTCAATGTAATTTGCTGGAAGCATTCCAGTTTTCCCAGTTCTCTGGACAGTACCATACATCCAACCATCATCAATTGGTTGCACATTAATGATGTAGTCACCATCTCTGAAGGAAACTTCATCTTCATCTTGGGCACTATAGTCATACATAGCTCTATATGTTCTCTGTTAAGAGAAAAGGGTAGGGAAATCCATTACTTATGTTCTGTAAGCCAGCAGTTTCAAAATTCACCAGTCCCTCCACAGATATATAGCAGGCAGTATCCAGTGCTGCTGATCCACTTATGTCATTGACAAAGCACCATTGTAAGTGACGTTTAGGGCAGCACCATCAGAAATCCCATTGTGACAATATAAATGTGCTTAAAAGGAGTTGCTTGTTAAATCTTTAGAATGACCCTTGCCCCTCTTCCCTTCTTTCTCTTTTCTTTTTATATGCGCCTTTCCCCCCATCCATTGTGTTTTCTGAAAACAAATGGAAAGATTTAAAACAAGAAATCCCATTGCGACAACAAATACTGTTGACACTGAGCCAGAGGTTGGTCACACTGCCAGCATCATGAGTGGAGCGGCAACACTGTATACTGCCCGTTATATCCAATTTAAAGCCTTTTACAGCCTCAGCAACAATGATTACATAGGTCAGCAAACTCTAAGATTGCAAAGAATACCTCTTTATTGAACAAGAAAGCAACAAACACTATGTATGTCACTCCGAGTGGTAACTCCAGAAAGTCAAAAACCTTTTGAAAATATGGTTTGCTTGGTGGCCATAAGGCAAGCTAATCATTCAACATACAGGGAAGAACAACAGTGGTATGATTTTATACTTAGAAAGCACACAACATAATGAACCAATTATAGGTCATAGTATTCTAAGATAGCATCAAGGAAGTGCAAGTGATGGGATTCCATAAAGAAGGACAGCTCAGACACTTTCTGCTATTAATTGTATATAACCATGCACTAATTATACATGATGTTTTATTTTGCAGTGCTATTTTACATATTATTGAAGATATTTTTCTACTAATTATACACAGAAGAACTGTTCGTGAGTTAAGTAGTATGTATTCAGCATATCTAGAAGTATGAGTCAGCTATGTGTTGGTAGTAGTTTTCCTATGAAAGCTGAGGAGCCATATAATGGCTTATGGACCAACCCTCTAAAGCACAGGGTTCATAATTTGGGGGTACGCTTGAATCCTGAATTTTCATTGGAATCACAGGATGATTCAGTAGCTTGGAGCACCTTCTGTCAGCTCAGGCTGATTTATCAACTATATCTCTATCTGGACAGGCAGAGCCTAGCAACAGTGATCAACACTCTGGTAACCTCTTTTTTTGGATTATTGTAATGTACTCTGCATGGGTCTGCCTTTGAAGTCTGGAAACTTCAATTGGTTCAAAATAGAGCAGCAAGTCTGCTAACAGGGACTAGCAAATACAAACATATTACACCAGTCCCTTCAATTGGTTACCAATTGAAGTCCAGAACGTATTCAAAGTGCTCACATTAATATTTATAGCCCTAAATGGCTTGCGGCCTAGTTAAAGGAACATCTCTTCCTGTATAATCCTACCTGTACCCTGAGTTCCTTCTCAGAAAGCCACCCCTATAGGAAATAAAGAGGGTAGATACTAGGAAGGGCCTTTTTGACTGTGGCACCCCAACTGTGGAATCAGCTCGGCAAGGAGGTGCACCTGGCACCCACTCTGTATCTTTTTCAGTGCCAATAAAAAGCCTTTTATTCACTCAGTATTTTACCAGTTAAACAATTTTAAAAATCTTTTTATACCCATCATCTTATCTTGTTTATACTGCATTTTACTGTATTTATTGTTGCTATACCCTTGGACTAACCTGGACGCAGCTGTTGTGGGATCATTGCTGCTATTTTGTTATTTTATTGATTTGTTGTAGTATATTGTGTTTGCCTGTATTTTTTTCATTTCTGTGAAACACCCAGAGAACTGTTTGGTTAATGGGCAGTATAGAAATCAAATCAATCAATAAATAATATGATTACACACATTCATATTTGTGCACCTCATGTTTATGAGGTGGAAGGAATTATAATTGAAAATGTGACATGGTCACATTTATTAGCTAAACATAATTGGAAACTATTTGGAAACATTTTTATAAGCAACTACAATTTACTGAACATGTTTTTCTGCCAATATACATGCAGCAGAAATATCCATCAAATACTCATATGATTAATTGTTTTGAAGAAAACAAAAAAGCTTGCTGAGTTTCATTATTTACAGAAAACCTTCAAAATGGATCACAACCTTTATCTGGGAATTACAATAAGGTTAAGGATTTATTCCATGCCATTCAAAATTATTTTGATATGTCTTCCATAGCATTTAAATCCAACATTCATCACCCAGTAAAAAGAAACAAACAATGCTATCATCAAATATCAGAAGCCTCAGGAGTATGACACGTTACTCCATTTCATCTTGTTAGAATTGCTCAGTTCTAACTTTTAGAAGCCTATTATGTTTCTGAAAAGCATAATTTTCTGAAAGTTCTGAAATAAGCAAAAGTTTCTGAAAGATATTTTACACCTACTTCTATAATTAGACTATCAGGAAAAAATCTCCAACTTAATTTAGTTGACATTTAGTTTTTAATTAACACCACAACACAGTAGCTTGGGTTATGTAATTAGAGATTTATGCTATTTTAAAGTCTTAAATATGGCTCTTTAAAATTTTAAGCACTTGTTGATCATTAGGATTGAATAAACCCAGAGAACACTGAGCCACTGGGCTTACAACTATGACTGATACTTACTTTGGGCACAAACTATGGGAAGTTATCTGGTAGAAGCACCACTGAAATGAATTTATTTCAATAAGACACATGCAGGAAAATTTCCCAGTGGCTTGTGAAAATATTTGAAAATATTTTTATGTGGTATCCCATCAAAACTCTGAAAGCTAGATCCTGTTAGTTTAAGTTGGTCTTCCGCTTCCTCACTTCTAGAACTGCCTCCTCCAAGAACCCTGCATAGTTCTTTCATTGAGAATATTTAGGAACACTGTTTTCTTTTTAATTGGCTTTTGGGTCCACCAAGATGTTCTGGCTACTGTAAATTTAGTTGTTTGTTACTGTCTATTATTTTAGTTTTTTATTTAGTGCACGCTGGACAACTTCTGGAGGTCCAGAAGGATTTTCCATCCCCCAGGTCCTCAGCACAGGTGGCAGTCTGTGTGGAACCCAGGGGAGAAAATCATTCAGATTCCCAGTGTTCTACCAAATTCAGCAGCAAGCACCACTCAGTGCTGCCACAATTGTTTAAATGCTGCTGTTTTCCAAGCCAAATAATCATTTGGACAAAACGAAAGAATAGGTTGCAAACAACAGGGGGTTAAAAGAAGCAACAGCAAGGAGACACTGAAGTCCATCCCTGCTTCGGTGTACATTGCTCAGATCTCCTTAGGTAAGAAGAAAGGCAAAGAAACAGCTGTGTGCACTCCTTTGTTTGAACCACAACCCACATAGCCCCACATAGTTTATTCTGTACGGAGCCCATGTGAACAAGTGAACTAAGTTTTTATACACTGATTCTGTGACTACTTCTTAAAAAAAAGAAAAGAAACTGCATTGACAGAATCGCATTGCCACAAGAAGCTTGAATCTTTCAACTTAATACTCACCAAAGTAGCTGAATGTGGCTGTGAGTGCATGGATCTCATAGATGACACACTAGTCTGGTGCATGTAGCCATATCCTTGGGGCTGACTTTGTTGATATGCCCCAGGAAGCACAGGAGCTGCATGACAGAGAAGTGCACAGGCATTACTTCTTCAAGAGAATATGGCATCGTCACTAATTGGGAGAAGTGATAGTTTGATCTCTTGATTAGAACATGCTATATCTATAGGAATCGGAGCAAATACAAGGAACATCCATATATACCGGGGTGGCCAACCCAAGGCTTGTGAGCCACATGTGGCTCTTTGAGTTCATTTTGCGGCTTGCAGAGGGGTCAAAAAAGTCTGACGCAACCTCTAATCTGAGCAGCCAAGCCAGTGCATGAAAAGAGGGTCTGAAAAAGCCTAATGCTACTTCTCTTCTCAGCAGCACAAAGAAAAGCAGGGAATGCGGCTCAGATCTCCTGCTGTGATTGGTTATCACAGCACTTCAGTAATCCTACTTCTATTCTGAGTAATTCGCATAGCCATGGCAACATATCCACCATATTTTCAGTGACTCACAGCCAAGATGGAGACTCACCAGACCTCTACTAGCAATAACTACCTTGATAATTGTAGCAATGTCTGGTCATAATAAACAAATAATACGAAAATAAATATTTGTTCATGTCTTGGGGCTCTCAAACATTTGACATTTACCATATGTGACTCTTCCACTGAGCAAGTCTGGCCACTCCTGATATATACTTAACCTTGTACTCAGTAGACAAAGTAATTTTTAAAAACTGGGTGCTTTACAGAATGCAATATCACACACCAAACCGAGCAGACGTATTGGAAAGGTGCAGATTAGTCAGGATTATATTGCTAACCTGTGGGTAAAGGGTAGAAAATGACCATTGCACAAATAACATTAAGTTTAAAAAACTAAATGTGAGAGCATTCAGGAAGAACAATTAATTAAAATAAAAGGAAGGCAACCTATTTTTAAGATGCACATCAGCCATGTATTGCTACTGTAAATCTTTATTCACCCTTTGCATTCTCTGAAGCAATTTGCTTGCCTGCAGATGTAGTTACATTTTTAAAAGTCTAACAATGATTCAAAATTTGCACAACCAGCAACCCTCCTCTTAAAAACTTATATTGTGGGACTTGTAATCCAAAACATCTGAAGGCCACTCAGTTGCCTAGGCCTGTTCTATAGGATGCATTGTCATCATGTTGTAAACTTCCTTCCAGTCAAGGAATTGACTGTCAGTCATTGATGGAGAAACCCACAATGTGACAAAACTGTATCATGTACAATTACTACTTAGAGACTGTTAATTTGCTGCATCTAGCTTTGGTTTCATTATAGAATTGAGATTCGAGAGCACTATGTGAGGTTTTTGCCCCTGCTTTCCCACTACATAACCTCTAGAAGGCTTGGTGTTTCACTTGCAGAAACAATACTGCATTTTCCTTGAGCTAACAAGACTTGCTGAAAGTGTTCTTTAAAGCAGAAGAGAAACCGGAGGGTCACGACATCATCCAAAGTAACCCATAAGCAAATGCAAGTAGGGAGTGACAGGTGCACAATACGTGTCTCCTGTAGAAAAGCTAATTATTTCAGAAAGCAGACAGTATCACTGCAGGGGCACCTTTTTCAGTAGAAATACAGCAGACTACATTACATAAAACCTGAGGGTTGGATAGTAACTTATGGCTTGAATGATTAGGTGTCCTTCGACTTCTTTTCATTACTCCAGACATCCCAATTTACTCTTGTCATATTAGTTTATGCATTTGTTCCTGAAACTTTTAAAGCAAAATATAAAGAAAGGAACAGCATGAGAAAGAAAATAATAATGCCAACTTATTATTAATTATATTTATATCCTGCTTTTCATCCATCATGGAACCCAAGAAGCTCCCAAGCAGTCCCCCACAGACCAGAACAGGCTGCTGTACCAGCAGACAGAGTTGATCAATAGAATGAAATCTGGAATTAAAGAAGTCATAAGGTAGTTCAGGGCATCCAAGGAGTGGCCTGTAAGTTTTTTATGAACTAGAAGAAAGGCAATTCATATATATATATTCTGGATAAGCTAAATGAGGAATTAATGTTCAGGCAAAATTTAAGCAATGAGCCTACAGACACATCAGATAAGATTGCATTATTCCTTGGTTGTGTTTTCAACACAATGCTTGAAAAAATATTTTTCTTCCCTGTTTTCACAAGACATGATCTTTTGTCACATGAACCCTTTTAAGTTTAAATTGTCTGAGCTTCTTTTATACATTTATGTGAATAAATGACACAGCCATTACAAATTACCATGTTTTCCACATTGGTGAATAAGCAAACAACAACAAAAGGACTGCTATATCATAAAAGCTCTTGCTCCATTAAGTATAATTAAAAACGGGTTTGGTTTTAATTATCTGCTCAGCTACAAAAATCTGATGCAATCTTTACTTTCACTGCTTGTCTTTTTACTATGCCTCTCAATAGGATATGCATTGAAATGAGCCATGAAGTTTATATAATCTAATTGTGTAATTGTTGCAAAATCTTGAAGGATGGAATGTAAAGATTCAGACAAAGAACTTTTGATCTTTGAAATAATTTGTAAAATATACTAATATTAAAACTGACTAAACATACCAGCTGGTGATTCTGGAAGTCCTTTGCAGGTTTGCATGGGGCAATTTCTGCTCCCTATTATATAAAGCACATTCATAGTTTTCCTTAAATTGATATATGTATCTTGCCTAACTGACTCCTGGTCTTGATAGTGATAGGTGTACACATGCACACACACACACACAAAATGCATGGGATCATAATGGAGTGCCTTTCTTATTATACTGAAGACTTATTGGATGTGCAAGCATTAAAATATTAAAATGGCTCTTGGTAGCACGGATCCACTAGCCTTGCTAGTGATGGAAGGCTGCTCAGAGAGTGAAATATGGATGAGATTGTGGGCAGAGAACTCAGTTATGGGGAAAACAGAGAAGAGCTGGGGAAGACCCCTTGATTTATGCTGGACAGATTTATTTATTTTACTTAAAGCTTCTATATCTAACCCTACACAATGTCTCAGGGCAGTAATACAATAAAATACAGACAATTGGAGCAGAGCAATAGTTTATTTTTCTTCTCCATATACTTCCTGGTGAACTTAGAAGGATAGTGCCAGATCTCTCTTTGCATATAGTATTTCTATTCTTTCTGCATATATTACCATCTTGTATGGAAGTGATATATTTCTTTTTATAAGTCTCCTGTATCTGTGAATTCAAAAAACCTGTGATATGCATGTTGAAGAATATAGTTAATTTTGTGGCTGAGAGTCTTTGGAATTGCACAAAATAGAACTTAGGCTGAATCATCCCTTTTTTATTTATCCTTGAATCCCAACCTTTACCAACAATGAAAATCAGATTCGGTTCCATAGAGAGCTACTTGACATTTTGCTGAAATGTACTAATCAGAGAACTCATTATGGAAGAGGAGGTACTTCTTTGAAAACTAACACGTTTGTTTAATATGATTTTCACTTGAGAAAATACACATATTTCACAATACAAAAAGCAACTGTTGATTGTTATCACTGATGGTTGTGTCCTCCAAACCTCCATGTAATGATTTGCCATTATGACTTACTGGCATTCAGAAGCAAAGGTCTGTCCTAGGGTTGTTGTGGACAATACAAGCCATTGACAGGAGAGCCTCAGAGCAAGAAAGCCACCTGGCAAGATGGCCAAGCAGATCGCCAGAGCATGTTTCACTATGGTATCGCTGGCCAGGCTCTTCCTGGTTGTTGTCCCAGAGATCTTTGGGCTGATCGGCTAGGTGGAGCTGCCCCCAGTGGGAAGGAGCAAAGAAACTATAATGAGCACAATCATCACCTGTCAGGCACATTGTGGCTGTTTGGCACGTGAGGACAAACCATAGTGTGATTTACCTTGATGGGCTACCATTATGTGTGAACTTGCCATTCCAAGTAGGAGTACACAGCTATTAAATGCTAATTGAAGTATCAAACCTATTCAATTTTAAGACTGAAAAGTGAGATGACAGGGCATCATTTAAGTGACCTGGAAATATACTGAACAGAACTGAGGATTACAATTGGTATTATACACACATATTGTTAGGGTACTATAAAACCCCTTTAAAATTGTACACAAAGCAGTAAGGATACTGATCAATGGTTCAAATATATTCATCTACAGTAGTAGCTTGCTATTTAGTTTGAAGCACATGCTTGCTGATCCTGTGAGTTACATGCCAGCAATCCAAGGAAGCCATTAAATGAGAACAAGGAAGTGTGAACTACTGATCTCCAAACTGCACAGATTAACCTTTGTTAACAGCTTAAGAATTAAAGTGCTCATTGTATCCAAAAAGAAACCCTTTACAGCATCACTAATACTGGTTATATAGGTCAGCAAACTTTTAGGTTGCAAGAACATTGCAAAATACTAATGCTGAAACTAGCTTTGACCTATATCTATTATTCTGAACTATACATATCTTTCTCAGTGCAAAGTCCTGAATGCCAAAAACCCCTTGAAAATACATTCTGCCATTTACTTAGTGGCTACAAGGCAAGCTAATCAATCCATAGAGAAGGAAAGAAGACAGTGCTATCAATTTTCACTACGCAAACACACAACAAACTATATCAATTATATGTCACGCTATTCTAAAACAAAAGCAGGGATGTGGAAATATGGATCCAATATATCACAGGAAGGACTTGGGCTCTTTTTCTGCCATTAATTGTAGATGATCACACATCATGTAATACAGGCACACATTGTGCAAATACATGCATGTTTACATGTCTATCTGAGAGACAGATTCCTCAGAATTATAGCTGAAAATGCAACACACTAACAAACCTAATCAAAGAAGACTGAAAAAAAATTGATAAACAAGTATAACTTGCTGAATATGCTCTTGCTAATAAAAGTGCAACAGAAATGCCTAGCAAGTGCTAGTATTATATATTGTTTGGAGCAGATACTTGCAATTTGACTTATTTAGTTATCATTTTATGTAGCTACACTTGCAGAATGAAGCAGTAATTGCATGAGTGCTGAAATGAGGGCCACTGGGTCAGGGGGTTACCTGCTGTCAGAGTGCAGCAAGTACCAACAATAGATACTAAACCAAAGAGGATTCTTCCCTTTGCTTTTTCTTGACAGTTATCAAAAGGCAAGCTCTCAAGGAAAAGGAAAGGAGTGAGTGATCTTCGCTCATGAAAAGGAGGTGGTGAGATTTATGCCCCCTTTGCAGCAAGTTAGCCATCACAATACTTTTCTTCAGAAAAGTGGGAGAGATACATTTTTACACTTTCCTAAGCAGCTAGAGCAATGGGAAAAACAAAAAATGTGCATCATCTTGAGGACTATCAGGGAAGAAAGGGATCTTACCATGAAAGGGGTGTAAATCTTACCACCTGCTATTTTCTATCTGCACCTTTAATTTCCCTTGACTACATAGTGCAGTTTTTCACTTGTAAAAGCCCTGTTAGTTTAGCACCTACATACCATATGGTGTGCCTTCTCCCACAGGATCCTGCTGTATTATTAAAATCCTGTTTTGACAGGCTTTTGGTACCAGGGCCAGCACTGCCACTAGGTACAGTGAGACTGTTGCCTCAGTGAAAGGCCAGGAAATTACTAGCACTTTTTAACTAATTTTTAGTCCTGCCAGGAATGAGGGAGATATATTTTTGTCTTGTGTGCCAAAATTACCTGGCTGGCCTTTGGGCACAACACACTTGCATGGTAAATGATGCCACTTTCTGCTCTACCTCAGACAGCAAAATATTTGGGACTGGCCCCATTTGATATTGATTTTTCACTGTTATTTCATATGTACAGTAGTATTTTATAAGGATTTTGAACATTTTATTATAGCTACTTAACCCTATGAAAAAATGGACTATACATGGACAGGCATAGGACTGAACATCATAAATGCTGTGGTTCTACATTACTGGAGTTTGCAATGCGGTATTGGTGCCATAAGTCAAGTAGACTATTATCCATGTTACACTGTAATGACAACACAGACTTGTCACGTGAAAAGAACATTTTTGGACCATTCCACAATCACTTAATCAAAACTATTCAACTATTAAAAATCAAAGACAGGTTAATACCAGAGCCAACATCAGTCAGTGCCCATTGCTATATTCTTCTCACACATACTAACTTCTGACTCATTGCACTACTTCAATTCTGAAGATCTGATACCTGGGACAAAGGCAATTAACACACCCAGTCAAAGCTATATATGTAAACATTGTTTATACTCCACATCCCTCAGCACTGGCATAACTGAAAATCAGAAGTGGGCAAAATTATTTGAAGCAAAGAAGCTTTAAGAACTTTACTTGGGAGCCACTAAGGATCATAAATAGAGAAAGCATGTAAAAACCTTGCTGATTGTCTCATACATTTTCTGATAGTAACAACAGTACTTCCTGCTATGCAATCATTTGTTTACTGGGCAAACAAGAACTGCTAAGTTAACTCTGATATGTGCAAGGAATGGACACATGGTGACTGTTAAGCAGAAGGCAACAGTAGACATCTCTAATACCTCCTTCATTAGATGGTCTTGTTACCTCACTGGAATAAGAAAATACAGATTCATCTGACTTGTCATCTCCAGCACCAGAAGTACTAGCAGAATGTAAATGTTGTTTACAGTAACGTCTTGCTTTTTCTGCAACAGGAAACACAATGCTGCAGTAAATACATATAAAACAAAGCTGGTGGGGATTAATTCCAAGTGACTTTAATCTAGAAAACAGGGCAAAGTGGTTACTTCCCTTGTGCAAAGTAAAGTAATTCAAGCTTAAGTGTTCATTAAAATTTAAGAATGGGACAACACACACAGGAAAAACGGTTTTGCATTATCACTAGTATCCTGTGCTGTCTGCTACTACAAATAAAAAAATTGATTGCCTTTTGTCACATGACACTTTGCTGAAAAAAGAAGGTTGAACTGCACAATCTGGAGTGCAAGAACTTCACTGCAGTATCCTTTGCAAGATTATAGCTGCTGATCAAAGCACAACAGCAATTGAGCTATCATATTTATCCAGTCATATGAAGAAAACTAATGGTCATGAAGGCAGTGTGCTGTTTGTCATAACTCTGGGGTGCTTCCAGACTGACATCCCTAGTGCTACCAATCGAAAAACACTGTACAGCTACTCCATCTTTCCCCCCTTAATGGGTTTTCTTTAGTAAGAAAAAGGATAGACAAAGTGGTATGGAAACACAGAAGGTTAGAAATGGAAGAACATGATGTTTGGACCCCAGTAAAATTCCATGAATGTGGCAGGGTGGATGCAAAATAAAAGCCTTTATCTGGAAGTATCATTAGTTTGATATATTGTACATAACTTCCAAACGAAATTGACTTCAGGAAATAACTGCAGGATAAAAGCCTCACAAGAAACCACCTGTGGTGTTAGTCTGCATTTAACTGTAGAAGGGCATCTGATTGAAAATCCACTAGGCCTTAAAATGCATTCTCCATATATCAGGCAGGTAAAATTAATTGAACCTTTTGCAGTGATAGCATTTTAAATAGATGTTGTAATGGTGGTGTAGTAGACAGAGAAATCCAGTGCTTGCACAGGTCTATACCACATTAGCAACCTTCCAGCTGTTCAGAGACTAATAAATAGTTCCATGCAGACTGGCCCTAGGGGCATAGCCAAGTGATGGGAGTGAAACACAATCCAGTGCACTTGTGCATGTAGCCAATGACAATTCACCTTAATGTGACCACAGTAAAGCATATGCTGGCATATCCACGTAAGTTAATTCTGAACAGCTACATCATTAGATATGCTAGGTCAAATATCACATTCATTACTTCAGCCAGGCATTGGAGGAAGCCATGAGCTAAACAATACCCGAAAGCATATGTAGACTCCTAGACTGAATATTATCTTCCAAAGGGTCAATGTCGAAGATTGAACCGGGATCTGTGCGCCATACTTTGAGGTCTTCTCCAAGAAAAAAAGAACAGTAAGACAGAGAGATGTTGAATAAAGTAAAAGCATGAATGCTTTACCAGTTCCTATAAGCAAAAGAGCAAAAATCTGTAAAAAGCATATACATCCCATTCTAGTTAACCTCATATACACACACACATCCTAAACAGTCAAGGGTCAGTATTACAATTTTCAAGACTCCTTTGATATCAAGTCTATCTCCATGCTATGCATTTTACTTCCAATGAAATCAGATTCTTAGCATCAAATCTCCACTATACTATTTTATGTATGAAACGCTGGCTTACTTGCACAAGCTGAACTCATATTTTCTTTATGAAGAGTAAAGAGAAACATTTTCTTTTCCATCCAGACTCCCTTGCCTACCTCACTACATTTTGTCAAATTAATCTGTTCTGTCTCATTAGTCCAAATGTTTTTATCCCTCCCTCTGCAGGTTTGGCTGCTTGCATACTGAAAATCACTATATTACCTTTTGTGAGATGCTGTGCAAATTATAAGCATGTGTGCTTATTATTTATCATTGGACTAATGAACTTAGTCATTGATAACATATGGAGAATGTTAAGAAAGAGTATGTCTTTCCAAAGGCAGTGCTGCTTCTTATGCTTTTCTGATTGTTTGCTGCTCTTCAGGGATGCTTAAAAGGTACAGTGTAAAGCACTGCTGCCTCAGATCACCCATCCTCAACAGCAGTATTCAGCTGCTGATTTTGCTATAATGAGTCGATGAGAAGTTACAAGGCTCTAACTACATGCCACTGTCCACCAGTCTAATCTACCACCTTGAAACTGTGTCTTACAAAATAAGAATTAGACAACGTAAGCACAATTTTAACATAGCTAAAACACAGCAGCTGAAGCAGTCTATGTGACCTGGCTAGCTCACAACTTGACTACCTGCCGAACTAGCACCCTTCTGTTAAACCTGTCCATTCATTGACATCTTTTCAATAAAGGCTGTGTTCCATATATCCTGAGGGTTAAAGGCTAGTCAAGTAGCAAATAGGAAATTGTTTCTTGTTGCACTGGAATGCCACTCATGCAATGCTCTCCCAAAACATTTGGTTTCCTTTATTCTAGAAATACTCTTATTTACCAAGGCCTCTGGAATGTTAGAATGATAAGGTCTGTTTTGTAGCTGTGCTTAATTATATTGTTAATATTTTGGCTTTTCATTTTATTAGGGCTTTTGTAGACTGTTTTATTGCTTGTAAACTGCTGTTAGGACTTGTTTTGGAAGAACTCAGTTTTTTTAAATGAAAATCAATAAATACACAGAAACACAGGAAATTCTGATAGTCAGTTTGTACTAGCAACAATTATAATGGAAACTAGAAGATAATAAATACATCTGATTGGCATATATTAGGTATAGCAGTTTTCTCGCTTGCAGAACAGACTTTGGTTGCTAATAAAAGCACACTTTATGGTAAGCACCTCAACCTTTTTAGATCAGTGGGTATATTTGAAAATATGAGAAACTACTGTGCAAACCACCACAAATTGCTTAATCATCACATCATTGTTTTGGCAACTACATATCTTGGGTTGTATCTTATTCTGAAAACAAACAAACAAACAAACCTTTAGCTTCATGTCTCTTGGGCAGTGCAATGTCTCTTTAACAAAGGATTATCTAATTTGAATAATGAGTAATTTGTGTAACTATTTATTTATTTATTTAAAACATTTTTATGCCACCTCCATTGCAACAAAGCCTCAGGGCGGCTCACAACAAAAACAAAATACATAAATATAACAATTATACAAATAAAAATATTAAAACCCGGTGCATCTCAGCTTAAAAGATTTAAAATCCCATAAATACAAATAAATTAACAATTAAAATGAGTTTTAAATAAAAAGGTCTTAGCCTGGCGCCAAAAAACAAATAACGATGGCGCCAGACGGACCTCTCTGGGGAGCGCATTCCATAGATGGGGTGCCACCACAGAGGAAGCCCTCCTCCAGGTACTCACCCTCCTAATATCATTCACAGAGGGTTTCCAGAGAAGGGCATCTGCTGCTGATCTCAAGGGGCGGGAGGGCATATACGGATGCAAGTGCTCCTTTAGATACCCAGGTCCCAAGCCATTGAGGGCTTTATAGGTCATAACCAACACCTTGAATTGGGCCCGGACTTCAATCAGGAGCCAGTGGAGCTGACAAAGAACTGGGGTTATATGAGAACAATGCCCAGTCCCCGTCAGCAGCCTGGCAGCTCTATTCTGCACCAATTGAAGTATCCGGATCGTCTTCAAGGGTAGCCCCACGTAGAGCGCGTTACAGAAATCTAATCGGGAAGTTACCAACGCATGTGTCACTGTTGCCAGGCAGTTGTTCTCCAGGAAGGGACGCAGCTGATGGATCAGCCGAAGCGGAAGGAAGGCGCTCCTCACCACCACTGTCACCTGAGCTTCTAGAGACAGCTCAGGGTCGAGGAGCACTCCCAAGCTGCGAACTCTGTCCCTCAGAGGGAGTGCAACCCCATTTAGGACAAGGCCCAAGTCCCCCATCCTGAGGCCTGAACCACCCACCAACAGGACCTCCGTCTTGTCTGGACTGAGCTTCAGTTTATTGGCCCTCATCCAGCCCATTACCTCAGCCACGCACCGGTTCAGCACAGCCACTGCCTCACCTGGATTGGTGGAAAATGAGAGGTAGAGCTGGGTATCATCAGCGTACTGATGATTCCGCAGCCCACACCTCCTGATGACCTCTCCCAGCGGTTTCATGTAGATGTTGAATAGCAAGGGGACAAAATGGAACTCCATGGCATAACTGCCATAACTGCCATGGCGCAGAGCCATAGTCCCCCATCACCACCTTCTGAAATCGGCTGTTGAGATAGGTGCGGAACCACCGCCATGCGGTGCCTCCAGCTCCCAATCCCGCTAGCCTATTCAGAAGGATACCATGGTCGAAAGTATTGAAAGCCACTGAAAGGTCCAGGAGAACTAACAGGGACGCATTCCCCCTGTCTCTCCCTGCACAGGTCATCGTACAGGGTGACCAAGGCAGATTCAGTGCTGTATCCGGGTCTGAAGCCAGACTGAAATGGGTCCAGATAATCAGTTTCATTCAAGAGTGCTTGGAGTTGTCCCGCCACCACCCGCTCTAGCATCTTGCCCAGGAACGGGATGTTGGCCACTGGTCTATAATTGGCGGCCATCTCTGGATCCAGGGATGCCTTCTTTAGCACTGGCCGGACTACCACCTCCTTTAAAGGGGCAGGCACCCAACTGTCCCTTAAAGAGGCACTGACCACCTCCAGGATCCAGGTCCCACTCCCGTCCTTGGCTTTCTTAAGTAGCCAAGATGCGCATAGGTCTAGTAAACAGGTGGTAGGGCGTACTTGTCCAAGCACCTTGTCCACATCATCAGGCCGCAACAACTGAAATTCATCCATTAATTGTGGACTCGGCGGCGTCGTTGGCATCTTCCCAGTAGAATCTGGTTCAATAGTAGAGTCAAGCTTGTGACGAATCTGAGCGATTTTCTCCCTGAAATGCTTGGCAAAGTCATCACAGCGGGCCTTCAAGGGTGGCACGAGATCTTTCTGTGGGCCCGGATGTATCAGCCCCTGCACCACCCAAAAGAGCTCCGCCAGACGGCATTGTGAGGAGACAATGGAAGCGGAGAAGAATTTCTTCTTCGCCATCCTCACCACCACAGCATAGGCCCAATAGTGGGCTCTTAACTGTGTTTGGTCAGATTCACCCCATGATCTCCTCCATCTATGCTCTAGATGTCTCCCAACCTGCTTCATTGCCCATAATTCAGGTGTATACCAAGGAGATGAACAGGCTCCGCCAGGTGGGAGAGGAATCTTGGGAGCGATTGTGTCAATAGCCCTGGTCATCCCCCCATTCCACAGTTCAACCAGGGCATCGACAGGATCACCAGCCTTGTCAACCGGAAAATCCCCCAGAGCTTTCAGGAATCCATCAGGATCCATCCGGCTCCAGGGGTGGACCAATACAATCTGGTCCGCACCCTTACAGAGGGAAAGGCCGCTCTCGAGCTCAAACCTTATGAAGAAGTGATCTGACCATGACAAGGGTGTCAAACTTAAATTCCTCACCCTCAGATCACCCTCTTCCTGCCCCGTCGAGAAAACCAGGTCCAGAGTGTGTCCACGTTCATGGGTCGGGCCACTATGATCAATCTGTGGGGCTTGCCTCAAACTGCCACCTCCAAGGGAGGCTCTGTTGGTGGCAATGAAGAGAATGGCCTTTTCAGTGGTGGCCCCCTAGAACAAGCCCCCCACTGAGCCCCACCTGGCACCAGCTTTCTATCTTTCTGGCACCAGGTCAAAACCTTCCTCTACAACAGGGCATTTAATTAGTTGGGGCTTTGTTAGTTGCTTAATCAGATTAATTTATTGGAATTTTGTATTTTAAATTTGGTTTAATTTTTTTCAATTTTTTCAAAGTTTTCTCAATGTTTTTATACTGTGGTGCATTTTAGATTGTGTTTTAATGCTTCAGCTGTTGGACAGTATAGAAACAACAACAACATACAGCTATGGCTTTTCCAATATATCCTTTGGCAATGTCCAGTAGTTGCTTCTCTTTATGAGAAGGTTATTACAGAGATTACAGTCTTTAATACTCATTGACGTACACATTCTTTTAAATTATTTACCTTTTCCATGCAAATCAGCACATGGCCTGAGTAAATAGATTGTCAGTCCATTTTGAGAAATTAAAGACTCATATGACAAGATCAGAAGGCTTAACATTCACTTACAATACCACCTTCAAATGGATACTAAATTCGCTATTTGGTATACTTTTGTTGATGCCTATGTATAATTTTTAGAAAGCTAAATGCATTTAATATTTTCTTTTTTTTTCTTTCCGTACAACTCCACAAACTAAGCATAGATTTCTTGCTATAGATATAAACAAATCTATTTATCTATTAAATAGAATTAAAGAGGGGGAATAATTAGACAGTTTTGCAGCTTCCCCCAGGTGCCAAGTTAAGGAATTTTTCACTTACGAGTGCCACATTGAAGACTACTGCTTTATGGTGTGAATAATAAATTTTACAGCACATTGTCTCTGAAATAACTCTGAGGATTGAATGCCATCCTAGGACTGCATATATTTTCTTTTAATAACAAAGTTAGAGAACTAAAGAGCTGTTGTGCTCAAGAAGCACCACAATGTAACCATAATGAGCTAAAATACAAAATATGCAGAAAAACCCAAGAAGAACTATTGAGGTAAACTTTTGATATGATGCATCAACTCTTGTCTTGCAGTGATTTCCAAGAGACTGTCATAAAGTAACACCTGAAAAAATGTGTGCCAATTCATAGTTGAATAATTTATGCTATACTATTAAACACTGTACAAATACTTTAGGACATTTTTTAGACTGAAAGTGCAGAATAAAAAATGAATGCATCCTATTTTCATTTCAATACACAGGTCAACTGTTACAGCTCCCAAAAAAATACTACATATTTTATAACAATAAAATTCCTTTCTTGAGAAGCATTGAAATAGTAACACTGAATTCCTTTTGTACTAATCTATACGAAAAATGTCAAATGGCAATTTATTCTGTGATTGCTTTCATTTTTAAAAGAAAGGAAAAATGTTAATAATTGGCCTTTCATATTAACAATTTAAGTACTTTTTATATTATGTCTCTTTTTTACCTATAAGCCTTTGTAGAGCAAATTAATGTTTGATTAAAATCCCTTTCATCTTATCATCTGTTGTGTTAATTAATATTCTCATTACTTCAGTGGTGACTGCAATTAGCACTTTTGCTAGAGAACAATTATTGTCTGATAACCCAAAACTGACCTATCGTTTTTTATCTGAAAAAAGAAATCTCCTGTGCAACAAAAGTATGTAATATCAAATGCAGATAACACTGCAATTAGGCAGAACAAAGCATAATAATAACAGAGTGAGGTTATTCTGGTCAGAAAGAAATATCCGCAGACTGGCCCAATCAAGTATCTTTGGTCAGTAAAGCATATCAAACTAACTTACCCACAATTATTCCAGGTCTTCTGTCCATTTCAACTATATGTGGATGAACACCTTTATAGGCAGCATCACTAACCACTTGGGTATTCCTTCTCACCCGTTCAGTCACCGGGTCATCCACTATTGGAGTGAATCCTCTGCCTTTCGTTTTCTCAAAATCTTCATGGTATTTGACCTGGTGAAGAATGGGGATTCTATTATTGTCCAAGGACGCGAGTACTAAGAACTGCAAAAGATGAGGCACCATTTTTGCTGGGCATTGATATTTCTGTTTGCCAATTACTCAAGCAGATAACTATTGACATGCAAGTATTCACTGCCAGCATATGCCCCAATATATGTGATATTCCAGTGGATTTCTTTAAGAATATATCTGAAGTAGTTCAATTTGCTATTCATACAGGGTCACATGCAATTTAATATGTTAATGTCAACCAGGTACATTCGCATGCGAGTGACAGTATCAAAACCCTTCAAAAACCAGCTTCCATTTCATACAAACTCAAAAGTAATGAGAACAAATGCTTCATACCAACTGTCAAATTAGTATAAGTTACCAAAGCATTATAGATATTTCTATACCTTTGAACCCCTTTACACCCACATAACCGCACTCACACACAATCTTGCAAGCAAAGCCAACCACAGCAATTGAACTCGGAATCCCACTTGCACACCATGAACCAAGAACATGCACAAGCACAAGGCAGTGTGTGTGTCACCCTCTCCAGTTAAATGTACTATAAGGAATCACACAGTGAATAGTTAGGAAAATCATTTTATTAGTATTGCAGAGAGTGGAATTACAACTTTTATATGCAGTTAGCAACCCACCCCATCACATCCACTGTGTAAGAAGAAATCAGTCCATAGTTTAGTACAGTGTGCTAGTTACCTCTATTATTGAAGGATACAATCCAATTGACTGCAAAACATTGTTTTTTAGAACATTCCAGGCATGTGAAGAATGTACCCTACCATTGAGATGTTGTTTTGTGTCTCTTTGACATGCCTTAGCTCAGGTGTGTCTAGAATCACACTAGATCTACCTTTCATCTGTTGCTGATCTCTGCTGTACTTGACCTGCAAAACAGGGTATCATCACAGTACACAAAGGTTTTGAGTACACAACTGGCAAGGAACATTACACTTAATGGCATGAATAAATTATCTTCCTCGTGATTCTTGATCATGAGTATTGCACTGGTATATCCATTCAAAGCATGAGTGTCATTGACCTTGGCTACAAATCATAATACTTGGGTGGTTAATATGCAATACAAAGAGTAAAATGCTAGCTTTGAAGACATTGACAGTCATCCACAAGAAAACTCAGTGTTCCCACAACTTGACTGGCTATTTCTAGACCACAAAGACACAATACTTTTTAAATCATACATAGGTGTATGGTATTATGGGATGCAGTAATTATAGAAAAGACACTTTATTAACCCAAACAATAGAAAGAAATGAGAAACAAAGGACTTGCCGAGCTGATAATTTCTTGATTCTTCTTGACTCTCTCCATTTCCGGAGTAACACTCACAGAAGTAGCTTTACCAACCTGACCTTTATAGCGCACCTATTAATTTACAGAATAAAACACAATGCATAACCATGTAACTGAACTATGATAAATAATGCATTGCATTAAACGCCACATGGTGTTTAAAGTCCAGATGTTCCAATTAGTTTGTCGTTTATTAACACTGCATACTGAAGCATAACAGATTGTTTTCTTTGTATTTCATCAGTAAAATATGCACATACAGAAGCAATACTAACTTAAACATAATTTACTATAAGGTGCAAATCACCAAGCACTGCAGCCTTTATTTAGTTCAGTGGGGATTCATACTCTGCACTTCCTAGATCTGTGCAAAGGAAAGGTTTTCATATTAGCATACATTCTTAGGAACAGATCAAACCATAAAACAGTTTCTGTCAGGAATATTTAATACTGTTTTATTTCAATGCTTATTACAAAGTCAAAAGATGAGAAAGATTTTTTTTTTATTTAAAACTTTTATATACCATCCACTACCAAGGACTCGGGACAGTCAAACAGATGCCAAAGATGCCAAACAGTGTGTTGGATCCTTGGATCTCAAGGAGTACTGCACAAGCTAAATCATACAAGGCGGTGGCACTTCATATGTACTGTCAGGAACTAACAACATGTTGCATGTAAATAGGCATATTAGACACAGGATGCTTATTTTGATGTTTAGAAAAGCAGTTTCAGGATGGGGAGGTTAACAGCAAAGAAACAGAGTCCCTAATCATTTTCTTGCTCACAAGTTTGCTACTCTAAAGCATCCCCAGTGTGTCATAGGCATGTGTAGAAAAATAATATCTGATTACTGAGTCAATGTTTAGCATTGTTGACTTCATGTTTTCATTACTGTTTTAATTTGGCAGTGCTTTTCCACTGTAATCACAGTAAGAACTGTTATTTGTGCAAAGGAAGGAACAATATTTAACATCACTAAAACTTACCACACTGATATTTTGCTGATTTTTCTTTACTCGTTCAATCTCTGGAGTCTCTGTTACTGCTGTGCCAGCACCTATCTCCTTCTTGTAAAGTATCTTCATTATACAAAAAAAGAAAAAAAACAATTGTGAGTTCTCTAGAAAAGCTAGCACTATTTGGGAAAAGCAGCCAATATTCCAAGTACTAAACACACTAACTCAGCTGTTTGCACTCATAGAAATGTTTGCATTTTCCATAAATCATCTAAACACCAGAGAAGCTAATGCCATTTTAAATCGCTTTCTTAGTGTTCTGCTGCTTACTGGAACTCATAAAATAGCTTATCTTATTTTTGCACTAAACAATATTCTTCAGGATTCTGCACTGCTTACAATGCTTCAGTGTTCAATTAGTCTTGGGTTACAAACGACTCTATTATCAATGAGTCCAAACAGGATCCAAGAGAAGCCAGTCATGCATGGGCTTCAACTCTTCTCTGAAATTTGTAATCTTGGGATACAATAGCTAGTATTTCAGCACTACGATGGCAGCAAAGTATCACAACATCTGGTCCTGGAGAGAAGATTGTGTAAAGTGTTTTAGCTAACTTAGATGCTGCATTCCTTACACATCAAGTTGTTATTGTGTTGCAATCATTTCACAGTGCATTTTTCACTTCCCTGGTTATAGTTGATATAGAACATAATGGCACAAAGTACCAACAAGCACACATGTTGTGCTAATACTCCAGATGCATAACATCAAGATTCCCAATTGTCCATATAATTCTCTACAAGGCTGAGATGGGACTCGGACACTTCCTATGGTCCAGTGAGCATACAAATGTTCCTTAAAACAATTTTTCCTTAAACTGCATTGCTACACTGAAGAAAGCAAGCATCCATTCTTATTACACTTCTAAAAACAAAAAAATGAAGCATGGAGTTCAAACAAATTAGCCCTGTGAAGTCTGAGTCACTTGCATTTTACTAATTTTGATAGTTTAACAATGCAAGCATTAGCGTTAAAAGAGTAGTGTAGCTGTTACTAAGGAGGTTATTCAATTGGTTTGGGAAAAATTATGTACACATTTGCATTGGATCCCAGGATACAAAAGAGCTCAACTGACATTGGATATGTCTACAAGTTCCTTCTAAAACATGAATTGTTCCAACTTACAGAACTTATATTTCTCTGCGTGTTCTTAATTCTCTCAATTTCAGGAGTGTCAGGCACAGCAGAATAGCTACACAGCATCTTCTCTGCTTCATCTTTATACTTCTTCTGCAACGTAACACAACATGCACAGATGCATATGCACACACAATATGCCACCAACTGAGATCTGGTTAAATCTATGTAAGTCTAATTTATTACCACTTTAAAATGCCTTTTCATTGTCAGGTTATGGTATACTTGGCTTTGAAATAATTTGGAATTCAAATCTAAGCTATTAATTCTAGATTAAGCATCCACATGTTAATATAGATACTTGTTAACACTAAAGTTGCATGCATCCTCCATAAAACTAAAATTCAGCTAAGTATGCAGTGAGGAATGCTGTAAACTGTTGAACTACAACAGTTAATGAGTTACTCATTATTCATTATTCACTACCCACCTGGCTAGCTATTTCAGATGCTTTCTTTGCTCTCTGAATCTCTGGGATATTTGTGTCCACTTGCATTCCTTTCCCTTTGATTTCAGTCTCCAGGTCCTTCATATATTCTTTCTGCAAGATGTGGCACACTAATGAATTCTTAGACATACAATATCGTTAGCCTTTCATATCCAAAGCACTGGAATAATTCATGTGTGCTCCTTTCAAAGCTGTGCCAGCAACACAAACTAGATTTCTGATGCCTGGCTGTGGTTCTGTAGGATTCAGTTTTATTATTTTAAATCCCCTTTGTATTTTACCATAAATGCCATTGAAGTACTGCATTCGGCACAAACCTGGCTTGCAATTTCATAAGCTTTCTTTGCTCGTTGTATATCAGGAGTATCCATGCCCACCTGCATACCTTTCCCTTTAATTTCCATTTCTAGATGTTTCTTGTATTCTTTCTGTGAAGGACAGAAGAGGCAATACTCAGATCTATAGTAGCTGAAGCTTTTATATAGTTTCTGCTTTAATCTGTGTGCTTTTATTAAATAGCACTGTTGAAGGTCAAAATGTCCTTTGATACAATCAGAACATTGGCTCCATAGGAGATTCTCAGATACATCTGATGTTCACTTTTTAAAAAAGAGAAAAGGAGACCCTTTCACGCACACGCACATATCTCTGTAGCATTTTGTTTCAGGCTGTTGCTGCTTTCACTGTCCTCAGTCGAATACCAGGCTAAATATTAAAGAATACATTTATACAATCGCACATTACATGTAATGGTTTCAACCCAGAAAAAGCAAATGCATCTGCAATCTTAGATAAACCTTGCTGACAGAAACAAAAACATTTCCCTATTATAAAGTTTTTTTTTTCAAAAATTGTGACTTTTAATGCAAATAGGAATGAAAAGGCCCTCCTGTTCCACAGAAAACATACCCAATAAAGTTCACTAGCTGCTAGACCAGAGTGAAGAGCCTTTTTGCCTGAGCCCCAAACTCAGTTGGGCAAGCATGACAGCAACCAAATGCAGCAGAGACTCCATATTTTGGCCAAAGTGGGCCACATATCCCAAAGTGGGCAGGACTACATCATTGTTGCTATGTGGACCCAAATGTGATTGTCCAGTTTGCATTCACATGCTTATGCATTTTCCCTCTCTTTCTGCCACACACAAACACAGATCCTCAGCTGCAACACACACTCTTCTCATACAAACAGCAACACACACTCAGAGCAATTATGTTTTTTAGACTCCACTGGCAATAATGCAGTGTGGTTGAGCATATAAGCAGAGGAAATTGTTTATTTCCAATCTATGCAAATACTGGAATTAAGGACATAGAAACATAAAAACTGAGTGAGTCAGAAGGGGTCTCCTGGGCCATCTAGTCTGACCCCCAGCTCCAGCTGGCTCCACTCATGACATGCTGACCATGTGCTTTCAGTGGGAAATATCTCTAGCCAGCTGCTGATCAGAGATGAAAAGTTTTCTGCATGAAGTGGGAGAGGCTAAGGAGAGTAGGACTAGAGAAGGTGGAGAGCTGGGGAGACCTCTCATGAACTGTATTTGGACCATGGACTGGTCAAAGCTGAAACACACTGAAGAATGTACAGCACAAAATAGCAATTCTTGTTAACTTCAGCAAAGGCCCTGTCCTTAAATGAACCAATTTCTTCTGTCAATAGTGTTTAACTGCATGTATAACTCTTGGATATAAAATTGACCTTTACATGCCTAGAATATTATAATCAAGTAGGTCTCTATTTTGCTATGCTTCGGTAAGCTAATAGAACCAGTATAGTCAACTTAAAAGAAACTGAAAAGATTCTCTTTAAAAAAAATATTGTTTCCCATTGTGGCTCAGACAGCTGGATCTAGACTGACTAGCTACAAAGCAAAATTTGGAATGCAGATGTGCAAAAGATTGTCAAGATAGATAACTCTGTCAGCACCATGGACAGCAGCTTCTTTCCAGGCGGAAGTGGGCAGAAGTAGGCATGACAAGATGTTCTAATACATTAATTCACTGGGGGTACTTACCAGGGAGAATTGGCAGAATGCAGGCTGCTTGACCTTTCCCTGACTAATAAGAGTCCCGCTACAGATGCTTTCCAGCTGCTTTGATTTTTTCCCACACTCAGACTCCAAAATCATAAATTTAGCTGAGGGTCAACTGCAAGGGAAACTCAGTAGCTGCAGGAGGCATTAAGAATCCTTCTCTCTACCCAGTGTTCAAGCCCTGTAAGTGGCCCTCCGTGGATATTATCTCATGAAAATCAGTTTGGAAATTGTCATTTGTAGAGAGAGTAGATTGCATCCATAAATTATGTAAGCAAAAGACCATTCATGCAATGTGGCTTTAGTAACCCCCTTTGTCTCCAGAACAGTCCCTGGTGCTCCAGAGATGCGGCTTTAGCAAGACAGAAAATTACCAGAAACTGCACCAAGGCAGCTTGTACAAAATGTAGAAACTTACTCTGGCCAGCTTATACCTGATTTTCTCAGGCACCCACTGCAGTGCCCTACATCATACTGTAGACCTTTTCCTGAAGGGACTAGTCAAAGGAATGAGTTTTGAGCTCTGAACTCTCAAACACACTCATGTTCTAAAGAGTAGTATCATTTGTACATTTTGATCCAACTGACCCAAATTGGCCCTTTTTAAACAGTTTTTGGTAACTTTATCCAAAGGAAAGAGGAAATTAAATAGTTAAATGCTTATATTTCATGAAACCAAATCACTGTCTGCTCCAGTTCCACAGATTCCAACAAGCCTTAAGGTTCTGTAGATTGGCAAGGAAGATATTTATTTGGCTATGTATTCCCAAAATCTATTAACTCGCTTTTCCGGGAATAGCTTCCAAGGTCACATGTGTTAAAATTAAAAAATTACAATAAGAAAAATGATCTAAAATATGTTAAAATACTAAAACTATAGATAAAATAGCCAACTAATAAAATAATAAGACAATATAAAGCATAACATTTGATTTAGAAAGTCATTCTCTGTGTCTGCCTGGAAGGAGGAAGTGAAGGATGGCTTCTTGTATTCTTCTCATTTTACTCCGTATCATTCTTTAGCTTATTTTACCTTGTAAGCCCTTTAGTGCAGGGACTTGTTGAACCTGTTCTTTGGAAAAGACTGTGCAGAGATGGAACAACAACAAAAATAGTCTTAACTGAGGTCTTTAACTCACTGAAGAGCACCTAAGGATGCAAGAATCTAAGTGTGCACAGAGGGCTTTATGCTATTGACAACAGGTATCTTCTCATAATTCTCAAACAAAAGTCTCAAGCACTTGAAATCTGGGACAGATTAGGATGAGATAGAATCTTCTAAAGACCCACAAAAAATTAGCCAGAAGAAAGTATGAGTGAACAATCACTATCCTCTAGAATACATTCCATACAGTCTTTGGAGCAGTTTCCTAACAACTCCTAAAGGCACTTCACCAGCTCTTCAAAATCAATGTCAGCAAGAGCTTTCAAAAGACCTAAACCAAGGTAGGGTTAGTAAAGGATCCAGCTAGAAACCCTTAAGAACTGCTGTCAGACAGTATTGACAATATTAAACTAGATGGCCAATGGTCTGACTCAGTGTAAGGCAGCTTCCTGTATTCTATGTGTACAGCTGCAAACTATACACGTAGTTGCATACAGGGCTTCCAAGTTTGTTATCAACTTCTGTACAAGTTCAAACAAGCATCAGTCTATGCTGTGATCCCCCACAATTAAGAAAGGCAAGTTACAGTGACTATAAATGAAAACAGTAGAACATCTGAGACCTGGTCCTACCCGAAATATTTCGGAACCAAGATTCTTCCGTTTTGCAATACCATTTGTATATTCCATAAGCTGCCATAGCAATATCAGAGACCAGATCATGCAGTTCTGTTTTCATATCATTTCAAACAAACCTGGCTTGCAATTTCAGATGCTCTCTTGGCTCTCTGTATTTCAGGTGTATCTGTGCCAACTCGCATGCCCTTCCCTTTAATTTCAGTCTCCAGATCTTTTTTATATTCTTTCTGCAAACAAAAGAACATGCTGTATATTAATTAATACCAGATCTCCATTTGATGCACAGATTAAATATATGAAGTTAATGCAGGGGTGAGGAAGGTACAGCCTCCTAGATATTTGGGAATGATATTTCCCATATTCTCTGATTATTGTTCTACTCTAATACCATGTGGGGGACCACAGGTTCTCTTCTGGTGCCTTTGTAGCTAGTGCTAAGGGATATACATTGCCTATTCAAGCCTACGACCTTATAGATCAATATAAAGGGCAAGCTGAAGTGGTCACTCTTGGAACTAAAGTTTGTACAAACCTAGAAATTTTCTCCTTTAAACCAACCAACCAACCAACCAACCCGTCCCCCCCGACCCTTGATTTAAATCCTAACAACAGGTTTCCCAGCAAGGGTTTCTTTTAGCATTAAAACAATACTATACATTGAGTAGAATCCATTGGGACGCTTGCATCCCTGCCAATTTCTTTCTGGAATTGGTGGGTCCCACCAATTCTCTTGGGCAAGTGGGACTGAACTTCACAAAGGACGCCCTGGAAGTACTAATCTTTATTTTGCAAGTCGGGGCAGCACTTGCAAAATGGAATCAGCGAGGGCATAACAGAATTGGTGGATGCATAAATCTGACCAAATGTAAAATAAGCAGTGATGAACAATCAGAACTTTTATGCAACTTGTGGATTATTCAGAAACAAATATATAGCCTACTTTTTCAAGTACACTGATTTGTTCTAAGTATAATAAGTATGCTTGATTATATTAATATACATGCTAAAAATATAAACAAGATTTAGAAATAGTTTTGCATTACACTCTTGGAAATTCATAGCTATTCATAGTAATGTTGAGAATGCCATTCTGAATTTGTCTTGTCTCGAAAGTTCAGACAACAGGCATGACTACTGAAAGGAAGGGGAAGACTTCATCCTGACCCAGTCCATCAGTCCTGTTGCACAAGCAGCCACCTACTCATACAAGAGCAATCTAGTGCTTCCACAGTAAATTGAGGGGAAGACACACATTAATATTTGAAAAAGTCCGGTTAGAAGGTCTCTAGCTTTAGGACTTCATCCAGGACAGTGGTAGCAAACCTATAGCACACGTGCCACAGCAGGCACACAGAGTCTTCTCCGTCAGCACGCGAGTAAAGTCACCCCAGCATTGCCCCAGCAGCTGAGCATCAGATAACAGCGCACATAGGGGCCACACACATGCTTGGAAAGGAGTAGCAGCGCCAGGCAATGGCATCACAGGCTGCGACTCATTAGCCACAACTCATCTGAGCTTTCACATGGCCAGTCAGTACGATGCCAAGGATAGATATAGATATAGATATAGATATAAATAGATATATAAATGCTTGGACTGGCTGTGAGTTGTTTTTTCTAAACTAAAACCTCAGTTTTCAGGTTTTATTGCAGTGTGGGTTTTGGACTGCAGTTTGGGCACTTGATCTCCAAAAGGTTCACCATCACTGGGATAGGATTAGAAAAATGAGGCATCCTGGCATGATTTTGATGCTTGAAATGTGTTTAGAATGGGCAGAAACGATGAGCTGTGCAGAAAAGCTACTCAAGGAAGGCTTATACAAAATCACCCCTTTCAATGGTATTTTACTCCTATATTAGGGTTATGGGAGTGCACCGTGGTAGGGTTAGGGCAGTGGTGGTAAACCTATGGCATATGTGCCACAGCAGCACGCAGAGCCCTCTCTGTCGGCACGTGAGCAAAGTTGCCCCAGCGGCCAAGCATCAGATAACAGTGCACATAGGGGCCATGCACATGCTCGGAAAGGAGCAGTGGTGAGGACATCACAAGCTGCGACTCATTAGCCACGACTCGTCCAAGCTTTCACATGGCCAGTCAGTGCACTGCCAAGGAGAGAGAGAGAGAGAGAGAGAGAGAGAGTCCAAGTGCGCGTGCGCGTGTGTGTGTGTGTATATATATATATTGCTTGGACTGGCTGAGTGTTTATTTCTAAACTAAAACCTCAGTATTCAGGGGGGTTTTTGTAGTGTTGGCACTTTGCGATAAATAAGTGGGTTTTGGGTTGCAGTTTGGGCACTTGGTTTCTAAAAGGTTTGCCCTCTCACTGATCTACAAAGTGCTAAACCTCTCTGGAGTAAGTGGCGTGTCACACTTAGAAACTGAACTGACAAAGCCCAACACTTGTGGAAGGGACTTGGAAGGGCAGAAAAAAATTGGCAGGGCATAAGCACTTCATTTGATTCTACCCAGCGTATAATATTTTTTAATACTAAAGAAAATCCTAGCTGGAAAGAGTTGCTTCTTTCTTAAAGGTGGTTTTTATGCAGGTAATTTCTATACTGGATCAGTTTTAATACTTCCTGCTGCACACACTCATTTAGCTTATTTACCTGCTTCATGGAAATTAACAAATAGGCGGCACAGATTGCCTGCCCCTCACTGACAGCTGAAAGACTGATATTACACAAGTGACTGGATAAGCATTCACCTCGTACAATGCAATAGACTGAGGACTTCACAACATTTTCAATATTTGAATGGGTAGCATGTAGATCCCACCTTCAAAGGGATACTTACTTGCATGTTTGGTCTATTTGAGTTGAAGTCTATGTGTAATTTCTAAAAAGCTGCATGCATTTAATATTGATTCATTGCTACAGATATATGCAAATACACATGTTTTTATTTTAAAAATGGAAAATATTTAAAAGATTTGTACCATCCCATTGGGGCACCATTGTTGCTACCACTGGAAATTCCTTCAGGCTTCAAGTTGGAGTTCCTTGCCTTAGAATGCATGCCAAGTTTCGGATGTCTAGGTCTCACAGAACTGGAACTATGGCACTGACACAAAGACGGACAGACATCCTTTATTAGATGTTTTTATTTACTGACCTCACTAATGATTTCAGATGCTCTCTTTGCTCTTTGAACATCAGGTGTTTCTGAAATAAGCTTGACTCCTTTCCCCTTTATTTCATTTTCCAGGTCCTTTCTGTATTCCTTCTGTTAAAAAAGGCCAGGTAGAAACTGTTTCAAAGCATACACTTTTTCGCTGACTGTAAAAACCATAAGAATATATTTCATTGGGTGCTTTGTTAAGGGCTCAATTTCCATGACATTAATAACCTTTACTAACATAACCTACCTCATTTAGTATCTGAGCTGCATTTTTCACTCTAATCAAATCTGGCGTATCTTCAAACACTGTCAATCCTCTTCCTTTCATCCCTTCTTCCAAATCTTTTCTATACTCTTTCTGAAGGTTAAAATAAAACACAATTTCTCTGCTTTAAATTGTGTGCAAGATCTTGAAAAGAAAAACTTCTTATTAAATATTTCAAGGAATACTTTGAAAATCTCTATAAAATATGAATTAGATAGTGCACACTTACTATAGTTAAAATAGAATTGAAAAATCAAAAGGCATGATGCACCAAGAGTGAAAAGACTGTAATGTAATTTTTTCTAGCTTCTGGAGGTGGGACCCCAAAACATTCTTCCTCTTGTACGCTAGTACTACAGTTAAACAGATGCTTTATTGTAAGAGCTTCTACTATGGATGGTAGCTTTACAGATTACAGACAAGTAAATGACCCTGTCACTCAAGTTCTACTAATGCTGTCATTATTCACAAAGGTGCACTAAATGGAACACAAAAGGCACTTATCCTCAAATCAGAGTTACACAGCACAATGAGCACTTGTGATAAAAATGAACATGTAAACGGATATTAAACAAACATGGAAGAAAAGTAAAGCCAGACTTAGTTCAGTTTGGGTCACACCATATCCAGCAGAGGAAACAGATTGCTTATGCTTTTCTCCTTGATTGACAAACCAAAGGGTGCCATCTCAACTTATTTCCACATTTCTTCAGCTTTTAGGCACAAATTCAATTCAGGTATGGCAACAAGCTGTATTTAATTGCACCTAACTTTGATGAGGTGTGGTGTCAAAAAGTGGCAAACCATAATTTGCAACTGGGCAACAAACCAGCATCAGAAGCCATGGATTGAAGCAGGTTTCCAACTTGGTACAATATTATGGCATGAATAGGAAAATCACAGTTACAACCATCATTCACCTTCAGAAGCTGCTGCACAATGGAGGCAGGAGTGATCGCATGTATTTGAGAAAACAAATACTAGGCAAATAGTGGTTTTCCTGCTTAACATTAGCATTAACATTAGCAGAGCAGCCCAATCCCACTTAGAAAGTAGCTATGGTGCCATAAGATACTCTGGATCCACTCTTCCACAAACATAGACAAAATTCAGACCATGGAACAGGAGATCTAAGCATGGACTCCACCTCCACAGCAGCCACAGAAACTTCCATGGTAGCTAACATGCCTAAGGCTGGCATCACAATCTTGGAAAAGAGATCATGGGAGCATGCCAGTGGGAAGAGTGAGGAGCACCATGGTTCTACCAGACCCAGGGTTTTCCCAACCCCTGATCCTGCCTGCAGAAATTCAACCATACAGGAAAGCTGGGAGGTGAAAATTGTTTCTGCTGTTCCTGCCACCCAGAGGAAATAGCCCAGAAGAGAAGAAAATTCTAGGACTCTTCCAAGATTAGAAGCTCCTCTCTAGCATGGTTAGACTGCATTCTTAGGAGCATGAAGTATGATTTATGTTCTAAACTATAGGAAGCACAAATGACAGCATGATGTAATGTCTGGATACAGAGTTAATATGTAGGCAAAGAACAACTATCTAAAGATAAATACTTTGAAACTTTGGCTGCACATGATTGGTTCCACACCACTTTTGCTATAGCACCTGGGTCCATACAAGGAACAAGGAAAAACTGAGAGAAGAATGTGAATTATGTTATACGACAGGAATAGTCCATATCACACATCCCCACAAAAATACATCAAAGAAACTAGAGCTGGTCCTTCCATCTTCTGACCTCATGAATTTTACCTCTTTTAGCAGGTTGGTAACATGTTTCACGTGCAAGAATTGGGGAGTCTTGTCTAAATCCAGAGCTGCTTTTCCTCTGACTTTATCTTCAAATTCTTTTCGATAGATTTTCTGCATACCAGATAAAAGTATAGCTCTTTATTAAATGTATGCAATATCATCAACATCCACAGTTGTGTTACACTTAAAAGCTAAAATATGTTCATGTAACAAACTCAGAATTTGGAGAATATCAAAGTGTGACTCTAAAACACCCATTGTAACATCAAACGGAAGGCACAATCAGATCCAAAAATAATTGTTAATCTTGTTCCATGTGTCCAAGAATGCTTTGATTCCCAGTCCCCTGAAATACCATGCTGTACCACAAAAGGGTTTGAATGTAGTTTGCAAAATGTTTTTATTGTGCAATGGACCAATTTAACAGCTCCAAAATTCTGAGTGAACAGAAACGCCAGGAAAAACAAAAAAATACCATGCAATATCACAAAAGGGTTTTGAAAGTGGAGGGACCTGAAAATGTAGTTTGCAAAATGTTTTCATTGTGCAATGGGCCAATTTAACAGCTCCAAAATTCTGAATGAACAGAAACCCAGGGATTAGGCTGAAGTATTTCTTTGGACTAGAACCAGGTAATCTTTATCATAGTGAAAGAATGGCCCATAATCATTACTCAAATGCTATTACAGCACAATGTACTGGTGATTGTAATAGAGTAAAAAGTTTCAGAAGCATTCCACTACCTCACTTTGGAACCTCTGAGCCTCCTTTGAAACTTGATATGTTGGTGTATCCACAAATTCTAACATCGACTTGCCTTTTGATTTTTCATACTTTTCTTTGTATTTAACCTAATAAAACAAATTATGCATCAAAACTACAAATAAATGGATACACTGGAAACTTACATGCAAAGGAACTTCCCATTCTCTTCCGTGAAGAGAGGTGCTTCATACACACACACAAAAGCATGTACAGTATTTCTTGCCTTAACAAAGAGCATACTATACACAGTCCATACACTCCCCAAGTGTGCCAAGCAATGTGCTTGCGAACACTGCAGACATACCTGACTCTGGAGAACTGCATTTCCTTTATGGTGCAGCTGTTCAGCAGCATCTGGTCCAAAATGGCACAGTCCCTTACTTTTCTCAAACAATTTCTTATATTCATACTGAAATAAATAGGAAAAGATATATCTCACTCCCTTCTGAATTTGATAGTACAACCATTAATTCATTTTCTAAAAACAGAAAAAGCCATCATTCTCACCCAGTGAAAGCAAAATGCACATAGAAACAGCATTTATGGACCTTTGTAGATTTTTCAACATACAGCACAGTAGCATATTCACAACAGTAGCATATCCCAGGAACCTTTGTGAAAGCACTCCTTGATGCCTCAGTCCTTAAGGCAGCATGCTTTTGCCAAATAGCCCAAAAACGATACTAGACAAATATTCCCCACCTCACAGAAATTATTTTTCAGAGCCATTATGTACACAAGAATTAGTTTACCATGTTTTTTTTTTTTTTTTGAGGGGAAGGATTTTGCTGTTGCACAGCAGTGCAAGACAAACTCTCTGATAGCTTGCCTTTTTAAAGACTGTTTTACTTTACACTGAAGTAAGAGCACCTCCTCACAATCCCTTCAAGTTGTTTTAGTTCTACTCCCAACTTTGCCTGCTTGTCACCTCCCTCCATTACTTACCCAATTGTAAGCGTAGAGGGAATTGAAAGGGGACTAGAGAGGAAGGTGGTAACACAATCAAGACTGTGAAGAGTGAAAGAAGATTGCCAAGTGGCTGTCTAGCTATTCCCAGGAACCCCAGATGATATTGCCCACCAGGTTCAAATGACAGGACAAACCATCATGGATGTCAACCCCCCTAAATCAAGCCATGGCTTCTCAAGGTGGCTTGTTCATGAAAAATAAGCCACCCTGCATGATAATGAGGGCATTTCAGTCTCTACAAAGCTTTCCCTAAAAGTCAGGAGGCCTCTGGAGCAGAATGTATTAAGTATGAGAGGCTATCACTGCTACCAGAAGGGACAGCCTGGCAGTGCCCCTCATGCGCATGAGAAAACACCTCATACATGAGAATGTCTCCGGACCCTCAACTTAGCAACCTGGTGTGTGTGATGTGACACCATGAATGATCAAGCATGGTGGGTTGTCATGTCATGTGAACACAGTCTGAAATGCCCCCATTATCATGCACCCTAGCACAGGTCAATAACCACCCCAATCACATTCAGTGTTAACAGTTTGACAGTTCTCAATTGCCTCCTAGTGGCACCAAGTAAACCATTATGCAATCTCTACCTATTTTAAAAGTGAAATGCAATTAGTAAACATGCTGCAAAATTAGTAACTCATTTGCAGAATTATATACTACACTTACTGTACAATCCTATGCATATTTATTCAGAACTAAGTTCCCTATCTTCTATAGGCCTTACATCAAGATATATGTGCCTAACACTGCAGCCTAAGACAGGAACAGCCAGAATTGGTTACCAAAACCCTGTGAACCACTGTTCCATTACAGATTTGATGCAATGACTCATTCTTGTTTCTTTGTTTGATATGAAACCATACAATAACAATTTATCAGATAACTTGTGACTTATATAACAAAATGCATTGACTAGAAAAATAAAAAGAAATTTGCTGGCACCAAAACAATATTAAAGTATCAGTAGGTGTGGAGGCAGTACACAGCTGAGGTGCCACTACAGAGAAGACCCTTACACATGTAGACATCTGCTGCACCTCACTTGTAGACGCCTCTCAGAATGGATAGTTAAAGGCTACTAGGTGGTATAGAAATAAAATTGGAGATACTGATGGGTTGTGACTCCAGACCAGCCGTACCCTACCCTGGGAAGGATCCTAAAATATTACACTGGGAATTTTACTCTGAGTTGACCTCAGGGTACTTGGCCGTAGTTTCCAAGCTGTAGACTTTTCATCTCAGCTCTTGAACCAGAGCCATCATAAATCAATTACTGTAGAGAGGTTGTGGAAGTCAGGAAGCAATTGGTATTTCAGTACCAAGCAAAGTAGCTCTCAGTATGAAATTAATTGACACATTCTTCTAGAAAAATCAGAATGCTTCCTTAGCTTGGAGAATTTCTTATGCCTGGACCTTTTATGCTTTAGACACCCAACTGCTCAGAAGCATCAAATTGCAGCATCAAAGCCTGTTTTATCAGATCATTCAATTCTCAACAATTTGATTAGATTAGACTAAGAGGAGATAGAAGAAGGAACAATGGCTCAACTGCAGCTTGTTATTTAGTGCTTACAACACACTGATACCCATTTTAGAAAAGCCAGCAAAAGCAAGAACAAAAAAACAGAGTACATGTATATAACCTGAAAAAAGATCACTATACATTAATGCAGTCTACATAATTTAAGAAGATTTTTGGACTATTTTCAAGACTCTCAGTTGGAACCAGCACTAGAATAGCCTACATTCCATCTGCCTTTGGAGACTAGCACTGAGCACCATATGGGAACATGCACTGTTGTATGGTCAGAGTGATGGAAGCAAGCTGGCATTTAGGGTGGGTGGCTGTTGACTGGACAATAGCTGCCAGTTTTAGTCTTGCATATTTTCTCACAAAGAGGCAAAGTCAGGAGAATAGAGGAGTTAACTGGGCAAGTTTGAAACCCAGTTTTCTGTCTTTCCTCTTGCCACTTTTAGGTGTAATAATGCCATTTTGTCCAGCATCCTGCTTCCAACAGTGGCTACCCTCTAGAAAGAATGTCAGGGTAAAAGCAGCCTCCCCCTCCATGATAGCTATCGTTCAGAGGTATCCCTTCTCCAGGCATGGGACATTCTATTAGTATAGTTTGCTTTTGTTTTTTGTTTAGTGACAAAATCTCTCCTCCCAAAAAAATCACAATAAAACAAAACTCCCTCTCACTTACGTGCTGGTGATGTAGGTCATATATCAATAAACCATCTACTCTAGTTCCCTCTTTCCCTCATCTCTTCCAAAAGTCTTCTCTGATGTCACTGACATGTTTTATGTTTTGACTTTTTAAAGTTATATGTCCAATATTTGCAATTGCAGCTTGCACATATACTTGCTTTTACATTAAACGATAGCAGCTGATAGGATAGACTTTCATGGGCATAACTAGGGTGGACCAGAGAAATGATTTTTTGGGTTGGCAAACTCAAGTGAAGGTATGATAAGAGTGGCCTGAAGTCTCCACTATTCTGAGATACTTTCCACCTGGACTTAATATCTACATTTACACCTTACAATCCTATTCAGAAAGGAAACATTACAAGAAAGCCAACTTACATTACTATGGATCTTGCTAGCATTCAAAACATGCTCTAAATGCAACAGGTTTGGAAAGGCAGACATTGGCTCATGAAGGTTTTCTAGATCCTTTTTGTATTTTACCTGAAAGAAGAATGCACATTGTGTTAAAGAACCAAAGGGGGGAATAAAAATGCACCATTTTGCTTTCAGTGCAGAAAAGGAGCACTACTTTTTCATGTTTGCCTGATACGTAATGTGGCCATTAGGTGGCACTCGTTCACTGCAGTACTTACATTACTTGCCAAGGCAGATGCCAGCTGGGTTTGCTTGAAGGAAGCACTGTCCAAGGGATTGAAGCAATAATTCTTCCTGTCCTTAATAAACTGCTCTTTGTATTTCACCTGAGAAGCGAACATATCACTTTAGGATATAATTGTGAATAAACGTAGAATTTTGCAGAGCTTACTATTGACAGTTTCTATTCATAGTGTATCCCAAACAATTGGTTATGTAATTATAGGCCAAGTCAATAAAGCCTTCGGGGAGAATACATGATCTAGCTCTGGACCCAAAGGATGCAGTTGAGTTTCAGAAGCACCCTCTCCTGATATGTGGTTAACAGAAGGCTAACAGAACTTGAACTGGATGTTACAGCAGACACCTAACCCTAAGCTTGTTCTGGTCCTTCTCAGTAACCCCAGGGCCAGTGTGTGCTTCTGGTTTTTAAGGGCCCTTGGACAAGACAACCACAACTCAGTAAGTCCACCTTCTCAGTACCATTGTCACTAGCTCCTGTTGGCCCCATCCTTTTTTCCATGTTGCTTGACAGGTCAAGAACCTGTGAACAAGCAGACAATAGCATCTCCTGTTCCTCCTCCTCCACACCATTGCTGTCTCTCCCAGAGTAGGAGGCAGATGAACAAGGAGTTTGCAGTGGTGAAGACGTGCAGCATCCTCAGGGGGTTGTCAATGGGCCCCTGTGGGGCTGTAAGAAGGTGCTCCTGCTTGAAGGTAGGCATTACATTAAAGATGTTAACATGCCCTTTCATCTTTTACTCAGCTTGGCATATGTACACAGGGCCTGATCCAGCACGGGACCCTAGTTACTCAGCTTGGCATATGTACACAGGGCCTGATCCAGCACGGGACCCTAGTACTCAAGGGTTTAAACCTTCCCACTACTATGATTCCACCCTGATCCATATGGGGTGTTTGAAATTTATACAGCAAAGTAGTTTCCTCCATTTAGTTTAATAAATCACACTTTTGTAATATAGATTTCCAGGTGCAGGGTCCCAGTCTGGGTCAGACCTGCAGCAGGGAGGATTAAAGTCCCCATTACCCACCACACTCACATCTCAATTTGGACTGCTGACCCTGAGCACACAGAAGTAGAAAAGAACAAGAAGTGTAGCTCTTTCCTAAATGAAGCTGAGCTTTGCTTTGGCCCCTAGAAAGCCATGATGTCGCATCACTGCACCAGGAACCTCGCCGTGTGGGGGCTCCATTTAATCAACATGCAATGACACTGATGGCAACACATGGGTGGCTTACTGTACAACCTGGCACATCTCCCATGGGCCACTTTATAAATCCAACTGCCAGATTTATAAATCACCCCAAGAAGCCATAGCTTGTGGTAGCGTTTATAAGCTACTCAGGCTTAAAGTGTGCTCTGAACGTAGATGACATGACAGTCCCAGAAGTGGCCAAAAATGCTACAAAGCTGCCTGACAACATTGGCAAAAAGCCCCATACCAAACAGGCCGTCCCTCCTTGCCCCATGCAAATTAATGGAAAGAGAGAAGCACGTGGACAGGGCACTTACAACTCTAAGACTGGTCACCTCTCCCTACAACAGTGGCCAATTTGTGCTACCGGATCTGAAATGTACATGCTCAGAAGCCTGCCAGCCTTTCTAAAAAGAAAATCAAATTAACTCAAAACAAAACCTGGAGGAGGGGGGTCTAACTAATGCATATGGCACTGAGAGATGGGCTAGCAAAGTTAGGGGAGCGTAGCCCAGAGCGTTAATGGCTGTGTCATGATCTGACTCTTCTCCCACCCACAGGATTGGTAGTTGCTCTGTCAGCCTGCCCTCTGGTCTCTAGATGCTGCTTTTAAATCCCAAGGTAGCTTAAAATAAAGCATCCTTTACCCATGATTTAACAGTGGATTAGGTAGCCAACCTAGCATGCATAACCAAGACCTGGATAAATGAGCAGGAAGGAGTTAATCTCTCCCAGTTCTGCCCTTTGGGATACTTCAGCATCAGAGTATGCTTGAGGGTCAGGAAGGGGAGGCTACTATGGTCTATAGGAGTTTTGTCTCCCTGTGAAGGTTCTCCTTCCATCTGACTATTGGTCTGGAGGGTTGGCAGCTTGGATGAGGAGTAAGCAGGACTGACTGGGAGCCCTCATGGTGCACTATCCATATCTGAGTCTCGATCTGTTAGTCTTAGCACAACAAACGATGAGATAAACAAAACATGAGTCAGCATTAGGTATGAATCATCACAATGTCACAAAAGATGCAGGGCAAAACACTGAGAAGCTTAGAAAATACAACTCTCAGTGAAGCTTTCCCTGTACCCAATGTCTTAAACTACACATGGTAGAAGTCCCCACTTTTTTATGCCAATAGGGCAATACAAAATTGCATTTGTACATAATCCAAGCTGTAATAATTATCCCCAAACAATTAATTCCACATTGATTGAATGTAAGATGTAAATTAGTATTTTAAAGGATTATTAACAAAGAGCAAATTGTTAATATGATAATGGGATTATTCAAGCAAAACCTTATTACTCGAGCTTTAAAAAGAAAGGCGAAAACATAACCTCAATGCTTTCAACTAGCATGTATGATTAAAGTAAATGATATTTTAATTACATGATCTAACTTACTGTTATCATAAAGTAGTTCTTTATAATTTTCCACATGGCCTAATTAACTTTTTAAAAATTTAGTAACAGATGCACTATGGTTCTTTTTCCCTAACCCAATCATATTCCCATAATCAGTTTTTTGATGGCAATTGAAAATGGGGACAGGTGGTAGACACGGTTCTTCATTCTTCTCATGAAGGTATATTTATTTCTAACCACATCTGACTGCCAAACATCTCCACTGTCTCTATTAGACATACACCCACTTTGACAATTCAGCTAAACCCTCTGCATTATTAGGATTCCATCCATTATTCCATTAGCTCAGTAAGAAGTACACAAAAAGTACAACACAAGCAGCAAGAATTTTGACTCTTTCAACAGCAGCCACTTCAGAAATTATTACTGAACATAGAAGCTGCTGTGAAAAAATGTGAAAAGCAGAGCAGCACATATGGAGCTCGTGGCATCCATCTCTGAATCATAGCACTGTTCTTTGAACAGGCGAAAATCGCAACTATCTTCTTCAACAATGTACACATTATTCTACAGGGTTGAAATACCCATTCATATATCTTGCTTTCCTGCCATAAAACCAATCAGTCATATCAGACTTCAGCTAACTGGTGCCCAACACTGTACTCAGCAAGAATGCAAGAACAATGTTATTTATTTAATACCAACCATGTGCATAGTGCTTTACAGATTACAGGTCTCTGCCCAAAGGAAATTACAATCAAAAATGTGACACTTTTTTTTTGAAGGGAAGGGACGGGACGGGACGGGATGGGACGGGATGGGAAGCCAGGAGTGAACAAGGGACAATATGTAATTATTTTTGTTACTCCTATTTAAGGATTAGTTGCACTTGAAAAGAGAGGGGTACCCTAATCCTACACAGTCCTAAAATGAGCCTGCATCTTCAAAAATTTCCCTGGTGCTTTCTGCTTAGTGGTATCAAGGATGTCACACTGGGCATAAAATCCAAATGAGAAGGCCCAGGGTGATTAGCAACCATTTTCAAGATGATGCTGTGCTAACCACTTGCCAACTGTAGTAAATAAACTCTGCTGTATTTAGTCGGGTTAGCAGTCGAAGTACCCAATTCAGTCTTTTTTTACTGCTTTGGAACTTGATTGCTGACGCACGATATAAATTCTATTGGAAAGAAAAATGTAGTCAAACAAGTATGCTTTACACAAAAACAGATTTTGGCACTCTTCTCACTTGCAGTCACATGAATATTTCACTCTATGCAGATGGGTAGTGCAAACAACTAAGCACAAGTAAAAATGGCAGCCCTTAGCCTTCAGTGCTACAGCATTAACTCAAAAACTTCATTTAATAAACTATACCTATGACCTGTCTGGACAACACAGCAATTCTCCATGATTTCTTATTGTAGAACACAGTCCAAGTAACCGAGGGTGTTCCTCCCATTCCTGAAACAACCCACCCTGAGAAGCCAGGGCTGTTCCAGGTTTGTTGTCACCTATAGTGATGTTGCCCAAAACCAGATGACAGAACCCACCATGGGTGAGCCCCCCAAGGCCAGGCAGCTGCTTGGGAAGAGTACCCAAAATCCCTTGCCCCCAGCTGCGTCCCAGGCTTATTGTGGCTACTCTGCAGAAGAACCAATCAGCTCTAGCTAACTGCCAGGATGGATTGCCATGCTTTGCAAGTTCCATATAAATACTATAGTTGACTGAAAGCTTATATTGTAACACTTTGAGTGCCTTACTTTTTTTCGTGATTGCTCCCTTTGAAATGCTGATGTATTTCCATGAAATACTTGACTTGCAAGATCCTTTATAACATTGTACATTTATCAGCATCTTGATATCAAGTGTTATTTGCTGCATTCAGTCATGTGGCTTGATCTCTGGATATTCTGTAATAATTCCTTATGTTTTATTCTACATAGAGCATGCTAACTCTTTGACAATGGCAAAACTGGCACTTTTAAAAGACCACTTGTGAAACCAAAAGCCTTAGTGCATCCTCATTGATTACATATCTGCCTATTGATATCAAAATATATCAATCTTCTCTTCACCTCTTACCTCCTGACTGCATCAAGGAATTTCCCCTGCATCTGCTCACTCTCCAGCTCTGAAAAGCCCCCTTCCTTTTCTGAGGTGGGCTGGTTCTTGCACAATGCCTCAGAATTTTCCCTGGATAACTGTGAAACTGCCACCTTTGTCCTTCTGCCTTCTCCTTAGAACTGGACCAATCTATCTAAGCAGATTGTAATATGTGAGATCTGGGCCCTCTTTCCATGATTATCTTCAAGTTTTCATGCAATTAAATTCAGCTTGCATTTGACAGAACACTTGACAATAAGTTATCCCAACTGCGTAATTATACAAACATGAAAAAACCTTACTTGACTTAAAAATCTGGAAACTTCTTGAGCATGGTTGAAGTCTGGCCTTCCAAGAACTGTTGGCTCCTTATTCATTTCATGTCGTGCTTTTGTGTATTCAGCCTTCAAGCCAAAAAATCAAAATAAGTCAGTATTAGCCATAATTTTGTTGAATGCCTTTTTCTTGTCCCTTTATGGTTTTGTCAAGGGATATATATGCTTCCAAAGTAACAGTAAAGCAACTGCCATTTAGTGATCTCTGTTGACACCACTTTTGCTAACACTCAGATCAACAACTGCCATGCTTCTTCCAATTCAACAAATGCACCACTTACTTTACTTGAAAAACAGTATGTTCCATTTAAAAATAGGAAACAGTTTTCAGTGTAACTAAAAGAAGTGTCAGTTCTCAGCTATTTTCAAGGGTTGAGAATTTTAAGCAAAATTAGACCGAAAGCATGAGAGACTGCCTTTTTCAAATAATAATCCACTCTATAATATAGACACAACCATATTAAAAGTAAAAAAAGATTGCAATGGGTAAAACATAGCAGATGCCTGGCAGGGTGAGTTGTGCGAAATTCTCCAGCAGAAGTGAAACCATCAGCAGGCACGCAGATCATGGAAACATTAAGTGGAGGAAGAGCAGAGGCTAATGAACAGCAAAGTACTTGAAATGCTAACTGCGGGCACAGAATCTCAGCATCAAGCCATTCAAACCTGCAAAACGGAATAAACAGGCAAAGCCGCAAGGTGACGTTCTTTAATAAGTCAGCCCAACGTTTTCGAGAAATGGAATTGGGGAAACTAAAAGTGGAATTAGGCAAGGAGCACCACAGAGCTTCAGCTGCTGATGGACAGAACTTGGGCAGCTACAGAGAGGTGGATGGCTAGTGACACTGCAGAAGGTGGAAGGCATTTCTGTCTGTACTTAAAAACAAAGCAAACCAAACCATACCAAATGTTCAGTTAAAAACATAAAAAAGTTATAATGGATCGCACCAAGGTTCCATCTGATTCAGCATTCAGTCCACACAGTGTCCTGTCAGTTGCCCAAGGGATCCCATAAGAGAACATGAATGCCACGGCACCCTCCCACCCACATTCCCCAGTAATTGGTATACCTAAACACATTGCCTCTGATACCAGAGACAATCATCAGGACTAGAAACTACTGATAATCTCTCCTCCATTCAATTGATTTTATCTGCCTGAATATAACTTTATAATTTGGTGACTTCTACAATTCCTATAGTTGCATTGTGTTTAATACAAAATGAAAAACATAACATTAAAACTGCCAATATTTTTAAAAAGAAAAAAGGAATGCAATTTCATACATTGCTCACTATCTTTGTTAACTGGGTTGCCATCATCACATCTGGTCTGTTTGAAACGTCAGTGTATTTATGCATATCTTGAAGATCTTTCTTGTACGAAACCTGCAAAACAAAAGACTTATGAATTACCTATGACTTAGCAGCACAGTTATAACTGTGATAAAATGGATATGCTAACGTAACTCATTTGGAAAGTTCCACAATACATTACCAGAATTAAAGTGAAATAAAACCGTATTTACCATATCATTGTATAAACAAGAAATCTAGTTCTGCTTCAATGACCATAATGGAAATGCCAATTCATTAACATGCACCTTATGGAATGCACATTATGAGAAGACTTTATCTAGATGAGGCATGAGCAACTTCAAACCAACCCCACAAATTTCCAATTCCCAGAAGCCACAAGGAGCTGCACCCCATCCCTATCATCAAATTTTGTAGTAATAAAAGCATTTTTTTTTATTTCTCTGACGCTCCACAGCTATGGAGTGAAAATTCACATTAAAACAAGGAGTGTGTTTCCCATGTGCCTTGTCTTGAAAGTGAAAATGTGCCTCATAGGCACACTGCCAAAATTTTGCAGTAGTGACCTGGGAGTGACAGGGGCTACAGAAAGGGCCAAGGAGTTGCATGCAACTCTTCGTAAACCCTCTACCTGAACAAGAATTTTATTTCATCTTCTTTTTCTTTTTGAGTTGTTTTACCTGATGTTTTTGACATATATTATATCTAATTAATGTGCTAAGATGATTATCTTGTCCTGAAGGCAAAGCTAGTTGGAATTTGGATATTATTAACAGAGTCATGGCTTGGATAATATAAGAATCACATTCTTCCATGTGAATTTGAGCCATGTTTTAAACAGTTCATTATTGCAGCCTCCTCCACTGCATGTGGCTCAGTGGAGGATTACCTAAGATAGGACTACGTTTTTCTGGTGTTCTCGTTACATGGGTCAGCATTTTTCTCCATGTTTTAATGTAGTTAATTATTTTTAGATTTGTTGTAAGTTTTTGCTAAATTTTATCTTGTTGACTGCATGTATATGTGCAGTCACAATCTCTTAATAGTGTATGAGTTTGGTGGTAAAAAAGGACACATTTCTTTTCAATAAAGTTATGAAGTGGCATACAAAAAAGCAGTGTCCAGCTCCCAGATTCACTGCCTCCCTAAGCTTTCTAATAACCTTCTTATCTACCAAAGTAATTTCACATTGGCATCCAAGATCTAAACTTTCATACTATCGAAAACTTTAGGTGGTTATGAATGGATGCATGGATGCAAAGTTTTTTTTTTTTTTTTTTTTTTTGCCGGGGGGGGGGGAATGGGCCAGGGAAGAGATGTAACAATAAAGTTGCAATGTTTCTTATAGAATAGGCATGCAATGTATTGAAATGGAACAGTTGTAAATGCTTCTTAAACAATCATAGCACAATCCTACCCATGTCCAGTCAAGAGGTAATTCCAGTAAGTTCAAAGAAAGTAGATATTCAATTGCAGCCTAAGAGTATCATGAAATCATACGGGAGGCCATACCATTGTTCTGAGTGCCAGTTTTGAGCTCCTACAGTCTCAGAGGTAGGACTCTGAAGTCTGACCCCCACCCCTCCTGCAGACAACACAGAAAGAACTGTGCCAGCTGCCCTCCAAAGCTGCAAAAAGAGCATGCCAGGCAGTGCAAGGAAGAAGGCAGAAGCCAAGACCTACTGGTGCCTCAGCATCCTTCCGTTTTCCTCCTGAGCACTATCTAGACAGTAAACAACAGCTGTCTACACAGAAGGTCAAGTGTTAGATGCGGTGCCAGCAGATATGACCAGCACCATGCCTCAGTCCTACCGCTGGATGTTCAGGGGCTCACCTGCATTTGCACTGGGGGTGATGGGATTATGCTCTTCATTAACTTTGAGGGTCAAGCTTTTGTACATTTTATTTTGGCAGCTCTTTCATGCTAGCTGTCTGATGACATTTAAAAGATTCAAAACATGAAATGAAAACATAGCCCAAATAATTATCCACTATTATCTATTGATATTAACACATCTTGTCCACTATAGTGGTGCAAACCACTGAAAATAATGCTGTAGATGAAAACCAAACGTGCATTTGGCTGTTGCAATACAGAACATTTTTGCTCTGACACAGATTTTGTTAATTATACACTGCTCACCCTAATGACCACATGAGGTGAAAAGACTACCATAAAGGCAGAAGGAACACTTTCTGAAAAGGACCCCATCATCCATGTAAATTGCAAATTAAAGCCCTGCATATGTGTCCAAAACAGTAGCTAGGATTGAAACTGTCAGTTCAGACACAGAGAAAAATGCACAGAATCTTGCAGCGAAATCTGTGGCAATTTTGTCTCTTATTGTTCCCAAGTGACAGTCACATTATAAATGAATTAAGGAAGTGTGGTTAATTTCACGGTGAGAAGTTTGCGGGGGGGGGGGGTAGAATCAGACAGTTGTTATTTTACCAAATTTGATGCAACGTCCAGGGAAATATTTTCCTTTTATGAATTATTAGCCTTCCAGCACCCAGGCAGAGCTATATGGTGGATTGTGGTGGAGACAGGTAGAGACAGAACTGGCCTCAGGGGAAGATATGGCAGGGCACCTGCCAATGAGCCACAGCCCAGCAGGAGCTCATCACAAATGGTCCCCTCAGACTGTTCCTCCCTTTCACCATGGTGAGCATTTTGTTCACCTGCTTCTCACTCTAGCCTAGGCAATGGTGAAAGTGAAGGTTTCTTGCTTATGCATTCGGATATTTTGGAACTCTAGATAAAAAGATAAGGAACAAAGCTTTTCAGTAAGCTATGAAATAGAGAAACTACAGTATTTCATTTCCTACTTATAAAACTTCAGCCCACTGTGAAGCTTAGCATGAATTCTCTTCAAAATAGCATGAAATTATGAACTACTAGACAATTTCAAACCAGGAATGCAAGGATATTTTCAGAAACTATAGTTTTCACCTCTAAAAAGGAATTTATAAAATGTCAGCTTTATTTAAGTCTGAAGAAATAATCCAAAATTCACATAATCCCACTAGATGTAAACTCTGCATGGAAAGGTTGGATTACGTCTGCAGAGCACTGTAGGTAAATGTGCATTCTGCTTCTGTAGTTACACTGCTCTACTGGAAAACAGGAAGAGTTCTACCCACAATAACACTTTGCATAGTTACTCAGAAATCCCATTGAGTCAGATCCAGACATAGGGAGCAGTTCTATGCATTTTAAGCAGAAAAAAGCCCTACAGTTCCCAGTCTGCCCCAGACAGCTATAGGACTACACTCTTGGTAAACTTAAAGTAGATTCACTGTGATCAATGGGATTTAAATTAATCCCAACTTTCTTCTCCCATTGAGTTGAATGAATCCACTATGATGGGATCCAATGCACTGTTTTTTAAACTCATGTACTGTAATCCTATGTATTTACTCAAACTTGCTCCCAGGGTCATGTGTATAAGATTTCTTCCTTAGCCTTTAAAGCTGAACTTTGCAGCCTTGAGTCTGAGAGGAGGTGACAAGATACTTCTCAAAGCAACAATTTCACAAGAGACTAAATTCATTGATTGTGTATCCTTAGTTTTTGGAATCCTTAATTTCATTCACAAGCTTATATATTTTGAAGTAAACATGCAGTTTCACATGAACCTCAAATAACTTTGTTTTTAACATGAAAGATCCCTAAATAAATAATATTCTGACTTTTCAAGGATAAGTAAACAAAGCAGGAATTTAAAGTAAAGGTGATATACCCACTTACCAAGGCATGACAGACTCATGTGAATTGAAAACGTTGTTACAAGCTGACAAAATGATTTTTGTAATTTCTCCTCTATGGCCTATATCTATCACACAGGTGAAAATATTCAGCCATTATTTTTTTTTGCTGTGTTTAAACTGCAAAAGCAAATAGTAACTGCCTTTCATTTTGTTCTGGCTGTATACTGACTTCATTCATGAGAAGAAAATGTGCAGAGCTACAAGAAAAATCTTGGAGTTGAGCAAACACACTCAAATTTAGATTTTTTCCCCTTAAATCTAATAGTGCTCAGGGGATCCAAAGAATACAATGGGGCTTCAGACTTTTGCTTCTTAATACAGGTCTTCCACACCAAAGGCCAGATAAAGTCAAATAAAGAATTTCAAAAGCTATTTGTGAAGGGGCATAGGGGACTGCCATTCAAACAAACATTGCACAAACACTTAGCTGTGCATTAAGTACCTCTCTGAATTCTAAATGAGGAATGGAATTATAACATGTACCAACAAGATGATAATTTTGCCATCACATACTGAATCACATACTTTTCGACATCAGTCTTCATACAGCTGATTTACACAGGCACATAAGCAGCCTCTTATTGATCCCTCCTCCTCAATAAGTATGACGGTGATGTATGAACTTCTAAACATACCTGCATCAACAACAGAACTCATACATGGGGCTATATGCACTATATGCACGGAAAATCTGTGGTTCCCTCCTCCTCCTGGCCACTAGTAAGGAAGATCATGCAGTGACCGACATACTATTTGTCTTAGTATTTATTAGATCATACACATGGCGGCAGTACATAACATCCAAATTGCCCACATACAATGTATTCAGCAGGAGCCTTCTGTCAAGTATGTGAACCAAACTTCTAGCAATCTCCATATGCAAATATGCCCATTCATATCCTTGAAGCTTTGATACACTTCAAAGATAGCCACTTTAGTTGGTTTAGTTGTTTTGGAGGATTTTTTTAGCAAATGCATACACTGTATTAATTTTATTATATTTAAAGTATGCTCTGTCTTTCTTCTATCAATTCAAGGCAGGTTAGATGAGTCTCCTATCTAGGTATTAACTAATCTTTGATATAGTTTATTTAAGCACAACACTGCACCATGTATCCTGAGCCCAAAAATATGCAGGAAAGCACCAGGGGCAGTCATGGCTTCATGGAAGGCATTCCAGTAGGGTTAACAAGGTAAAGACAAATAAGTACTTGATTAAAATATTACTATAGGTGGTACTTAACACTGGTATGTAATATAAACCTAAAAGAACACATGGTGCAACCCTATAGCTTTCCTTAGTAGGATTAGTCATATTAAGAATGTTGAAAATTAGTAGCCAAAAAGAACTACTCACATTACTTTGGCATTTATTGACTTCCATGGCATGCTTAACTTCTGGTGGCTCCTTCATATGGGTATATCTTGATGTTCCCTTTTCAGCTTCATGTTTCTGCCTATAGAGAACCTTAAAATGATATAAGTTTATATTACACATAGCACAAGGTATATACATAAGATTACACATCAATGGTTTCTTCTTAAACCATTTTCCATTTTTCCTGGGAAGACTTTTTATAAACCTAGTCTACACATTTGTAACAAAACCAGACTCACATACTTTTTAAAAAATCTTTATGAACTGAGATAAACTCACTCTTTTGATGATGAAGTGCTTCCAAGAACCCTTGGACAAGGAAACTATCGTCTCCATTTTACAGCTCGATAACTAACAGTACAATATAGGTTTACACAGAAGGATTGTGGCCTAAGCTGTGATGTAGTGATATAATCTAAGACAATAGGCTTAATTCAGATTTGGTTATGTTTAGTATAGATCCACTAAAATCAATAAGATATTGCCAGTACCAAGTTGGATCCCATTGTTTTAAATAGTTACGCCTTAAAGTCTGAATCCAGTGCAGTACTTTCATAGTTATGCACTTAAACCAAAGTCAAGAAACACAGGAAGTTGCCTTCTATTGAGTCAGGACATTTGTCTGCCAAGCTCCATAGTGTCACCATTGACTAGCAGCATTTCTCCAGGATTTTGGATGGAAACTTTTCCTACTTGGAGATTCTGAGATTAAGCCTATGATCTGCAAAGCAGATGTTCTACCACAGAACCATGTTTGGTCTATTCATTTAGCAACACTTTCACTGACTTTCACTGAAGTTGAAATGTAAATATCGGAATATTTCATTGTGTATCATAGAAAGAAAAGTGGAACAAAAAAACATAAATTGCCTTTTCAATCACCAGAATAAAGTGTTAGATTAGACATTCTGCCCAATGACACTATCAGAAGAATCATACTGCCTTTGTTATTCTATTTGCTTTGATCTCAAAAGGATTTGGATCCTCGAAGGGAGGATAAAATTGAATGTAACATAACACCTAACAAAAGCTTTAAAGCAGGATATACTATGAAATCTTGTAGTCATCTTCACTGAACCCCACATATGCTAAACACTGTGGTCAACTTTAGAAGTAAACAGTCTTCTTTTTCAAAGAATAAAAAAGAAGCACAATTATGTGTTAGCTGCAACAGGCAGAGTGTCTCTCTTGATTTCGGATGAAAAAGTGAACACCATTAAAAGCTACTGCTAATTAATTTAAAATAACTGAAATATGATTACAGGGTTAGAAAATATACAAATTGCTATGTCACTGTTTAATTTTTAGCCAAACTGAACATTAAATTATTCTGTATCTAGCACACAATTTTATGCATATAAGATGTATTACACAGTTTAAGGGTGCAACCCTATGCCTATTTAGACAGAAGTAAGTCCTACAGTTGGCTGGGGCAGGTAGGATTTATTTCTGTCTAAACATGAACCCATTGTAACCTTTTTAGGAACTTGGTCTTAATTTTTATAAAAACAGCAGCACTGGGCTGGTTCCAAATGATTCCTGCTTCTGTGAGAGGGAGATTCCTTCTGCTGGAGAGAGGAAACCTTTGGATCCACTCCAATATTCTCCCATTTAGTTTTGATTTTTCATAATGAGCTCCTCCATCCATAGGCATTCTACAAGCAGCTCTTGAAATGAGTACTCAAGGGATCCATAACATTAAAAACTGCTAGATGTACATTTGAGAATGTATTTGTCTAATGGTTTTTAACTGAATAATCTAGTTCAAACCAAAGTAAGAAAGTATAAAAAGAGGATCTGATTTCTCAATTAACTACCAAAATATAAAGCCTAGACAAAGTGAAGACAGAATTCTAAGAGCCCTTTGCAAGTTTTGATGTTTCAAATATTAATACAGCAAAAATTCTAGTTGTCTAATTTGCCCTATTATCCCAAATTCATAGCAATCTCATAATTTTGGAATAATAATTGCTGGTTTACTTATATTTGTTTCTTAATTTATAACTTGCCTCTTCACCAAGGAAGTTCCTCACCTGTAAACACCATATAGAGTTGATCAGGGTGGCTTGAAACTGCCATTTCAACCCAGTTCATCAGTTTTGAACATGGATATCACATTTGGCCTAAATTAATTATACTGTGGTAGTACACTGTAGCAAAACCATAGGGTCTGATCCAGACTTAGTCAGAAAAGACCTGTTGAAATCAGTGGGATAAGGTTGATGCTATTCATGACTAAGTTATGTCTTATTAATTTTAAGGGGTTTGATCTCAATAAATCTGGATCAGACCTATACTGAATGTATAGGTGAGTGAGTGACTGTTCTGAATCAGCATCTCAGCATGATAATCAACTGGATGAGGGCCAACAAAGAGACTCATCCAGACACGACAGAGGTGCTGTTAGTGGGGGTCATCAGTCCAGCTGGCTGATATTCAACCTGTTCTGGATGGTATTGCCCTCTTCCTAAAGGACAATGTTCATAGCTTAGACATGATCTTGGATTCAGAAATGTAACTAGAGTCACAGTTAGACTCAGTGGCATGAAGCACTGATTTATGACCTTATCTCGACAGACAAGAGTCTGGCAACAGTGATCTATGCTCTGGTGACCTCTTGTTTGGATTGCTGTAATACACTGTGCATGGGACTGCCTTTGAAAATGGTCCAGAGATTTCTACTGATTCAAAATAGGGCAGCAAGACTGTTAATGGGCATTAATGAAAACAAAAACCAGTCCTCTTCCAACTACATGGGCTGCCAGTTGAAGTCCATGTCCAATTCAAAGTGCTGGTATTAACATTCAAAGCAGCTTGGGGCCAGGCTATCCGAAGGAATGCATTGCCCCGCATGTATCTACCTAAACCCTAAGATCTGTTTCAGGGGCCCTTCTTCGAGGGGTGGCTACCAGAAGGAAGAACTTCTCAGTTGAGACATGCCAGCTATGAAATGAGCTCCCTAAAGAGGTGTACCTGGTGCTTACTTTTTATTCTTTTCGGTGTCAGGTGAAGATGTTATTATTTTCCCAGCATTTTAAAAGCTAATTTTTAACTTTAGTTTTCATATTGTATTTCATCATGTGCTACTGCTATACCTCTGTGCCAATTAATTGTGATTGTTGTGGTTTTATTGTCTTATTGATTTATATCTTTTTTGTTGTTTGTTTTTAACTTTGTTAACTGCCCAGAGAGCTTTGACTATTGGGCAGTATAAAAATTAAATAAATAAATAGTTGAGGAAGAAGAACATTCTGCTTATTGCAAAGATGAATTACACAGCCATAGCACAACTCTTCCTTGCACAGTGGATACAGAACTTTTGATTCCCACAATTCATTACCTGTGCAAATAAACAGAAACATTCTTTGAGCACATTTGCCAAATGCTTAAAGAAATGGGACAACCAGAAAACAGAACAGCCCACTTGTATGCTTTAATGCTCTATTTCCTTAGGTCATTTTGCTTCTCCAATAAAGAACAAGCATTGGATTGGAACATTTGAAAGAAATGAACAAATGAAGGAAAAACATGTCAAGGTGATGGAATGTATATAAAACAAATCCTTTGCCATGTTTTCCATTCATTTCTGCATTCATTGCTTTCAAATGTTTTGTTTTTCTTTGTGATATTTTAAGAATACTTTGAGGAAAGCAGGAAACCAAGAAATCCATTTCCTTACTCTTTGAAAAGACAAGAGACTTTAAATATAATATAAAAACTAACAATCTGATTTTATCTACATCGATGTTGCTGCAACATCACATTGACAACATTGGCACAGTTATTAAATGGGTGCCAGTCAGTAATACTGTTGAAGTAGGGATGTTATTTTTTCTCTTCGTTTTTTTCATTTGGAACTGCCTGGAATAATCCTACTTATGGCATTCAGATGTTTCAATCATTTACTTCTAATGACATCTAACAAACTGTGCTAGACATCAGAATCACAGATTAATTTCATGAGTGCCTAACTGTCTATGATTATTTTTCCACTGGTTTTGTTCCTATCTAGCTGATAATTCACTAGTGTCTATAAGAATAAAAAGTACTGTCAACAACTTTCTTTCTAATAAAAACAGGATTAAACAATTAGCAGCTCAGATTAAAAGCCCTACTAAAATGGCTTGTGTTTGAAAATTATTTAAATATAAATAGGAGTGGCGCTGATGGGGAGGGTAGTGTCTGATAATTATCAGGATCACAGCAGGTAGAGAAGAGGAGCTTAACTTTTTCCCCTCATGCTGCAGTTCTGGCAAAAATCGGTACTTTGAAGCTACTATTTGCAATTGGAGAAAATCCTCCATTGGTTGACAATGCAGGTCTCCAATTGTTCATCCCCTCTTTAAATCCTAGACTAGCTTTCTGTGCACTTCTATATCCAGCAAAAATTCCTCTGTATTTTCTGGGCCCCTCATCTCCTTGCTCTATTTGTCTCATCTTTCTGCCCTCACAGTCCTTTTTAAATCCTTCCTTGAAAACCCACTTTTCTCTCTAAAGCCTTGGCTTGACCTCATATACTTTTGAAACTTGACCTAAGTGCACAAAAGTAAACTCAGCACATATTTTCCCCATTTCCTTCTCAACCATCATCTTCCCTTCCCTATTTTCCCCCCATAGTATCTCATTTTGGGGTTAGGGTTAGAGGCAGTCAACTGTCTTCTTGCTTGCTGCTCTGGAAAGCATTCTTGACAATGATGGTGCTTCATAAATGATAGATAACAATCATTAACAAAGTGCTAGAGAACTACAGGGATAGTAGAAGCGGCCTGCTTGGAGATAAGATTCAGCTGACAGGCCGTAGTCTTCTGTACAGGCAATATGAGGAGGGTGCCATTTTGTCTCTTACCGCAGGTGGTAAAGGCTCTTGGGCTACTCCCACCCACTTCCTCACTATTTGTAGTATATCCATTCCACTAATCATCTGGTCAAAAGCTACCTTTATTTTAAGACAACAAATCAAATTATGCAGTGAGCAGTACAGCTTTCATTGCATCCCCCATGACTCTAAGTCATGGAGGGCATTGGAGCCACAATAAATACTGGGAAGCAGGGCAAGGAAAGCAAGAGGGAACAGAATATAAATATTATGATTTTCTTCTCCCTAGCGTATGTCAAACCTGCCTGTGTGAGCTTTTTGGAAGACATAGCTGAGGGTGGTTTGGGAATGGGCAAATCTCAGTTCTGATATAAAACCTGCCATCTCTTCTTCCATTTATTCCCTTGTAGGCATAATGTTTGGAAAACCCAATGAGTGGAACTTATCCCACTTTCTTAGCTTTTGCAGTAGAATGCCATGATTTATGCTACAAATGGGAAATAAATATGTCTGCAGGCTTTAAATTTTATGCTACATCTGAAATATGTTGTGCGTGTCCCTTTAAAGTGCATGTGTGCCTCAGAAAAAGTACTGAAAAGCTAAGTCAATATTTAATTTTTAGAAATATATATTTGTTAAAAGGAGCAAATATGATAGGATTGTACCACCAATATGATAGGATTGTATCGACCAACTTGATTTTAATATTCTGGCCAACTCTATTGTACCTGCTCTGTTATCTTAGAAAAGAAGAGAGAAATATTTCTATTTAAAATTGCATATGATGCTATTTAGAATCAAGCCATAAGTAAAAAACATTGAGCAAAAATAACTTATGCTGATCTCATTAATAAATCAAACTAAGTATGTTATTTCATAATATTATATACTGTCACAAAAAAGAGCTCACTTCATTCATTAACAATCTGTAACCTACCATTTTAAGACTGCACTGTTTTACATATATAATGGTTATTGTACTAGTCTTTTTAATTATCACACTTTTAATTAAATCCTTATATAAGAAAGCAGCCCTTAGTTCCATCAAACTCTGGCTGAGAGACATTAGGATGAAGCAGAGAAGCTCCCCTGCCACTCCGGGAAAGCCTTGCCAGCAGGTCAGAGTATTTATCCCAGAGGCCTCTGGGACACCAAAAGAACACAGGAGTACCATCTGTGGTGGGGCCTGATCCAGCCTAGAAAGGCCATTACTCCCATTTGTCACAAGGCAATTTCTTATGTTCCTTATGTCATGCAAGTGTTGAGTGGGCTGAATAAGGATTAATAAATCGAAGCTCAGTCCAGACAAGATGGAAGCACCAATGGCTTAGCTGACTCTGCAGTTCATAGTGGAAGGAAGGCCAAAGACCATCCATCTATTGCTTAAACCAGTTAACCTAAGGGTTCATGGGGCATTCTATGAGCTGTGTTTGCACCAGGCTGCAGCAGTCACAAACTCTCTGGAGCAAATGCTCTTTCTATGAATAAGCTGGTTTCAAATCCCCAACATGAATCCCAGTCAGCCTTATCAGCCCTTAGTATTGCTGAACTCAAGGTATTTCACCACAGATCATGTTGTTGTTGTTAGTCACGAAGTCGTGTTCAACCCATCCCGACCCCATGGACAACATTCCTCCAGGCCTTCCTGTCCTCCACCATCCCCTGGAGTCCACTTAAGCTCACAACTCATGACTAACCTGCATATCTGGGAAAGAGCTGATTGGCCCTTTGATGGGAAACAAAATGTATAATTACCAGATGCAGTGTAAGACCTACCTTATGGGCATCCAAGTGAGAGCAAATATGGGAGAGGGGAAAGAAGGCCATGATAGAATCCTAGAGGGTTTTTCCTCCATATTCACAGCTATAGATACACATCAGGAGATGGGGCTTGCTGTTTAAAAATAAATACATAAACATACCTTGCTCTGAAGTTGCATAACTTCTTTTGCAAACACACTATCAATTGTAGCTGGCATCTGCTGATAGAGTGAGTTGGAAAGTTCTTTCCTTGCACTTGCTTTGTATTTTGCCTAGAAGGCAAAAGTGAGAAGTAATGCAGCAATTATTTCAAAAAAGGATATTCAGAAAGAAAGCCTTTCAACAAGTGGATCTAAAAATAGATTTGGAATCTTTAGAATAAGAACAAGTGTTTATAGACCTTTCCTTGAAATTCTAAACATGGCATTAAAAAGATTTGTCTGTCTAGGTAAGCAGTTATTGTCACAATTCTTGTGGCAGACCAAGTTGAATTATTAAAAAGAAGAAGAATTGCACCTCTGCCAATGAAGAGGCTTTTAAAATAACCCCTTCTTGTTTTTCACTTTCCAGGACCACATCTCAGAACACAACTCAACACCCTTACTTTGTTCCCTGTTGCCACTGCCTTTCTACACAATCCAGCCAAATTACGCCATTACTATTGACCCCCTTTATTAATTGATTTGCTCAATTGATTTGCTTTAACTGTACTTCTTGACATGTATATTTAATAACATTCAATAAACACAATGGGCTTTATTTAATCTATTTAATCTTTAAAGTCCTTATGTAGGAGGAATGTAGGTGGAAACCTTTCTCCCACAGCCATTATGCCATTCTCTGACATTACAGAGAACAAATGCCCAGTGCAAAGGTCACAGTCAAATCTTCTTTCAAGGTTCCTCCTGATCACAGGAAATCTATAAATCCAAACAGGTCAGAGGCATATGTATAGTTCCCAGAAGTATCCAAAGCGCTGAGTTATATCATGCCAAATAGATGAAGGGGGAAATGTTTTTTGGTTGCCCAGATGGAAACAGAGTGCATATAGTTAAACATAATAGCCTGTCAATGAGACCAAAGGATCACAAGGAAAACGGCCCATACCAGAAAGTTCTGGAGAGGCACACAATGTATAGGTGCTTCTAATTCTTGCACCAAAGCCTCTGAGGCAAGATGGAAGACCTGTGAGTTCTTGGTTTCAAAGGAAAACATGGATATGGGGGCATTATGGAAATGTGGCGGGATTGAGAGAACCAGAGGGATATCGTTCTGAATACAAAATCTATAGGAAGAATAGGAAATGGTGCACTGGATATTCTGTCTCTCTGTATGTCAAAGAGTGTCAAACTAACTAGAAATCTCAAAGGGGGCAGTGTCCACCACAGAATAGCTGCAGGTGAAACACCAGGCTCAAAAACAAATGTTGTCCTGGAGCTATGCTAACATCCCCCTGACTGAATGCTGCCTATGAGGAAGTGTTAGCTTAGAAAGCATACATATTTGGAGACCAGGGAGGCAGAAGGAGTGGAGCATATGACAGAGGTATATTAAATCAAGCATGGTGTAGAAACATTACAGATAAGGTTTTCCCTGTCTCATAATACTAGAAGCAGGGGATTACCATACAAGTGAGAGATCCAGGACAAATAAAATAGTTCTTCACGCAATGCACAGTTTAATTTTGGACCTCAAAAAATTACCACAAGAAGCAGTGATGGCCAACAACTTCAATGGCTTAACGGGATTTGAACAATCTCACATAAGATACAGCTATCAACAGCTACTACCAGTCATGAAAGTTGTATATTATCTTCAATAACGGAGGCAGTATGCCTCTGGATATCAGTTACTAGGGAACACAAGCAGGAGGATGCTAAATTAGGCTCATACTCAGCTTGAGCATGAAGGCTTCCCATACATTTATGGTTGGTCATTGCGTAAACAGAGTGCTACAGCAGATAAGGCCTTTTGTCTGATCTAGCATAGCTCTTCTTAGTCTGTTGAGTTAAGTTTGGAAATGCCGCCTGATGTTCTATAGTTACATGGCACAGCAGGAAATCTGCAATGAAATTATGGATTCCCTCTCCTACATGCTTATTATTTAGCGATTTGTTTTAAAGTATCAAAGCCTATAAATACGTGTGTGTGCGTGCATGCATGCGTGGGTGGGTGCATACATGCAAAAGGTATATTCACAATACTGATAGCTTCACATGCACAAAGAACTAATAAGAATCAAAGAGTTCATACATGACAGCTTCATGTACAACTTTGAGCATAACCCTATGGACAGCACCGCCACCACCACCTTCATTCTATCCTGTGTTTCCTAAATGGGGGGCAGAGGAATGAGACCAGAGGAGGCTCAAGATAATCCATTTCTGGTTTCTCCAAACTCCCCAGTGCCACCAGAATGTCCCCATTCTCCTTCCAAGACTGTTTTTCCAACCACTGAGAGGCAGCTCACATGTTTCTCTCTGTTCAGTGAGGGGGAAGGGGACAGATCTCCAATTAGGGCTGCTTTTATAAGTGCAATGGAAATCATTAATGTGCCCATGACACACCATCTGAAAGCAAAGCTCACTGGAGAAGGCAATCATGTTAGGGAAAGTTGAAGGCAGAAGACAAAAGGCAAAACCAAAAATGAGAGGGACAGAATCCATCAAGGAAGCCACAGTCTTGACCTTGCAAAAGCTGAACAGAGCTGTCAGTGATAGAACATTTTGGAGGGCTTTCATTCATAGGGTTGCCATAAGTCAAAGATGAATTGCAGGTACAAACAACAAATTGTGCTTACTAACACCTTCACCTGTTCACGTGATTTATTATCAGTGCTATTCACTGAATTATTCCCAATTCACTGAGCCTGTCCATGCAATTCATCCAGGAAGTGCTGCCCTCATTCTCAGCTGACTTTGCCCTCAGTGGCAGTGTCAGAGGCATCACACAGCCAAACACAATTGGCTAATTTGCGCCCATACACACACACACAAACACAGAAACATGTCTGTATATATACATACACACTGAATAACATTAACGTAATCCCATTAATTACATGGTCATGGCTCAGCTGAGACCACTTCTACAACCATTCCTGGAAAAACAAGAGATAGCACGAGGACCTGCTGAAAAAATGGGTAAAACAGCAGTACTGAAATGCCTTTGTTGGGGTGCACAGTCTCACAATCAAAGCATTACTGAAACAACTGTTCTATTTCTCATCAAAAGTCACTTTCAGCAATAGTTTTCAGCCTAAAAAGTGAAATGGGGAATACATTCAGTGCAGTTTTATTTTATTCATTAATTTATGAATTTTATAACTCATTTTATTCATCTATAAAATCAGGAGCTACAAACAATTTAACAACTGTAAAATATTTTCAGTTCAGAATATACATTTCAGTAACTACATGCAGTATGGAGTCCTGTCATCTATTGAAATACTGGTTCCTAATACTGCTTCATAAAACAGTGTAGAACTGGAAAACCACTATTGCATAAGTCACTCCAGGCCAATAAATATTACCAAACATTTTCCCGACATTCTGTGCCATACCTCAGAAATAAAAGCAGAGAGGTTTTTCACATGAGATAGCTGAGGGGTGTCAGATATAGATATGCACTTGCCTTTCGATTTTTCATATTCTTCTTTATAATGAACCTACAAAGGGATGGTGGAGGGAAAGCAGTGGGTTAGAAAAGAGCAAGAGAAGATAAGAAGTAAGAGGAAGAGCAAGTGAACGCATGCATGTATCTACACATTAGACACAGTACAAAAACATGAAATAGTTGTAGCTCATTAGACATGTAAGAAAAACCATTCAGATCACAAAATATCATAAAGGAAATGCAGTAGTAAAATACATGTTTAAGTCTTTTCTAAATTTCAGAACTGAAGAAGCCAAATGAATGTTAACCTGGAATGAGTTCCTTGCATTCAGCAGGGGTTTGGCCTCCATAGCCTTCTTGGGCCCTTCCAACCCTACTACTCTATGATTCTGTAACTGTGAGGCCACCTCTAAGAAAGCCCTAAATTGTGTGCTTCCTAACCCAACCACTTATTTGAGTACTCAAACAGGAATTGTGAAGGTCATGGAGTGCAGACAGTAGAGCATTTCCAAGTATGGGCATTGAATCTGTGTTGCTAAAGCATTTTGATCTGTTCCAGTAGTATGGCTGTATTGGAGGTGCCCTAATATTAAATTGCGCACATAACAATTGAGTTGCCTCAAGAATTAAGCCACATAGAAATTGAATTGGCAGCACATAGGTACCTGGAATTTTAATTAATTTATTTTTTATATTTATATCATGTCTTTTTTCCTGCAAAGAGCCCATGGGAGCTTACATAATCCCCCTTACTCTGTTTTATATTCACAACATTGCACAGTAGATTAGGCTGAGAATCAGTGATGAGCCCAAGTCACCCAGAGAGCTAAATGGGTCCATGCAGAATAGAATCCAGATTCCTCAAGTCCAATCCAACATTCTAACCACTATGCCACAAAGCTTTTCTGTTTGCTTTACTGGGTGTTCGTATTTATTACAAAATAAAAAGTCCATTTTCTAAGTGTTCCTTCATGGCATTCTTTGCAATGTAGACAGTAGTATATTCCTAATTGCATCAGTTATTCAAAAATAGTTGCCTGTACAGCATTTTCTTTATTTTTCTGTCCTTTGCTTGTTAAAACATAGAAATACTGTCTTTCATTATCACATTCAACAGTGGTAAGCAAATGAATTAAAACAGTATTAGTCATCTTCACACAGAAATGGCTGCCTCTTTTAAAATCTTGAAAAGCACTGTGTCTCTCCTCCAACTTATCTATGTATCAACTAAAACCAGGGGAAATGTGCCTTTTTTTCTTTAAAAAAAAAAACTACTGGTTTATTCTGGTAAATATTTAATCAACGTATCTCATGATTAATCAGATAAGGTTCCTTTAAGCAAACAGCAGACCTAATAATGAAGCATCACTTTTCAAGTGACTTCACCATTCATTCCCAAGGTCATAAATGGTTATCCAGTATGGACTAGTAACGAGAACACTTTCTCGCTTCCGTGTAAGACATCAGCCTTTGCTTTTATTTTTTGTTCTCTTTTTTAAAACTTGAGATATAATTTCTAAGTACCTAAGTGCATTCAGTAACAGTATATTAATTGAAACCCTTCCAGAAAAAAAATCAGCCCAGTAAATTACTGGCATCCTCTCAAGCAACATCCTGTGCTTTGTGGCTTATATTTACCTTATTCAGAAAATGAGACACAAAGCTCAAGTCAGTGCTAGGAATAGAGCAGAGAGATGCAAAGAGGGTAGGTGAGGACATTTAAACTTTTTTGTTGTCATCACTATGCTCCTGCAGGCAGATGTCCAATCTGGTTCCATTAAACCAGTGAAAAGTGCTTTTCAAAAAAAATTAAAAAATCAATAGCCTACAGGAAGAAAGCTTTTTGTGGAAGGCAGTGATGGCACTTCATATTATCCATATTGGGTCTGTCAAGTTTCCAAGTTTGTATATACAATAAAAGCATCAACACCAAACAACTTAAGACACAATCAAATTTAAGCACCATTTAGTCCCAACATTATTAGAATGGAAAAGAGCTAAGCAATGGATTAACACTGCCACTGAAATAAACTCATGTATGTCATGGGATAATATGAGAATAATATAACCAAGCAAAAACATTTTAAGTGTACAAGATGCTGTTTGAATATGATCTCAGGGCTGGTCAATGTTATTATCTTCTGTTACAAATGTTGGTTCTGAGGCGGAAAGAAAATGGCATGATTATTATGGCAATTTCACTTCAGTGAAATCACAGTTGGAGGCTGACACAGATGCATACAATTACTTATGTTTTATTTGTCTTTCTACCAGTCAATGGAACTTGGGTACTGCTTTTAATTCTGCCTTTTGGTCCAAAAGAAATTAAAGGAAGCTAACAGAATTTGAAATACATAGACACACTCACTCATACACACACACATATACACTTTAAAAATCAAAACTTAAGTGGGGCAACAGCAGCCACTAATTATCAAACTCCACAGGGCCTTCCTGGAGAACAGCAAGGACTATAAAACAAAGCAGTCTCCCTAGGAGGAAATTTCATAGCTCACATGCTATGCCAAAAAAAAGGTCTCTGTCGCATACTCACCTGCTTAACTTTTTGGGAAAGACCTGAGTCAGACAACAGGAAGGATTAATTAACCCTTGAGCCATCACAGTGTTTATGAACATGCAAGCACCAAGCAGAACTGTTTGGTAGTTAGGTGACCAAATAACTCCTGCTATCTACTCCTGGCTGGGACTTACATAATCATAAGCATCCCTAGAAAAGTTTCCTGCAAGGAAACCAGCTCACAGTGGGCTTTTGTGTCATGCAAACTCTTGTGGGCTCTTGTATCATGCAAAGAGACACAGTTGCTCTCAATTATACCAGTTCCAACTGAGAAATGCACAGCAGCCACAGCCAAAAATATTGTGAAAGTGACCTCTAGGGGGTTTTAAGCTTCTACTTACATTCTAATAAGTTATTATTCCAGAAACCAATATTCAAGACTACCCTGACAAGTGTGTGTGTGTCACTAAATTCTTAAACCCCATACTTTAAAAGCCACTTGAAAGAAAACTTCTGAAGGACTTGGGTGTGCAATACATTCCTTAAAATCACATCCAAATATACCAATGTACTCATAATTAAACTTCTACTGACAGATTATAATACTGAAAGATTTGCAATGGGGAAAAAGAAAAACAGAAATCTAAAAGGACAAATGCTGGACAAACTAACTTTAAAATGCTATTTTGAGGCCAGCGCTTTCACAAATTTCTGTTCAGAGTGCTAGATGCTTCCCTGAGGCAATTTTTAAGTACTAGAAATACTGGAAACATTACCAAGGAATTAAGCATCACTAGAAACATTACTCACATTGCTTATCAATTCAGTACATCTTCTAGCAAATTCCATGTTTCTGTCCTCAACAATGGGCTTAAGGAAGACCTAAACAAAAAAGAAGGGAGCATTCCAAATATAAGCATAGATCACATAATGAACCCTTTAGACCTTTACAGAAAGTGGTCAAGCCACACACCTTTGTATCATAGTCTTCCTCCTCCTCCTCCTCCGCTTCTTCATTTCCACTCTCCTTAGATTCCTGAACAGTCATTTTCATTTTTTGTTCTGCTAGAAAAATGGCAAAGTTCAGCCAGACCAAATGGCTTGTGCTCTGCACAACTTGTTCTATGCCTGTGCCACCCTTGTCTCCTGGCAGGCTTAACCTCCCTATACTTTCTTCCTTATTTAGGCAGCACTTGAAAGCTCTTATCTGAAAAATGCAGCTCAAGAGCTGAAAGGTGTCACTGATGCCCTTGCTAGTGGTGATTCTTTAAAAAGATTGAGTTTTTCAACCAAGCAAATATATTTAAGGAAAATATTGGCCTATATGAACTTTGAAAATTAAACAATAGTGTAATGTTAACAGGATAACAAAAATCAGACCATTCACAAACCCAGTGAACAATTTGACAAGCTCTGATGTTTAAATTATCAGAGATCCTTGAATACCTATGACAAAACCTCATTTATTGTTTACATATAAAGCAAGCATGACTTTTCTCCAGTGTTCATTTTGACAAATTTTCCTGAACATAGTCCTGTCATTCTGAATGGAAACACCCTGGACAGCTTGACAAGAAAACAAGTTGAATGAAACTGTAAATGCATCCAACAAAAAACCTTCTAAAGTATACTGTAATAATTCAGAACAGGCAGGTTCTTCAGAATTTTGTGCAATACTGGCATTCGGACTGCAGCCAAGATGCAACATTAAAGTACCCTCCATCGGTGTGATGGACTGGGCACCAGACTGCAGAGCTGGAAATGCTCCAGTAATTTGTCCTACCTGCCCTGTACTCCCTTTTCCTCACATGAACCTGCTGTAGAGTCTTTTTTTCTTCTTTGGGCTGTTTTCTGGATGCATTAAAGAAATCTTTCCCGGAGAACACCCAATATTTGGTAGCATTGCCCAATTCATGCCACACCTATACAGGGACCTTCCAAAGCAAGGTCAAACAAGAGTATATAAAAGGCTCGCCCTGCCCTAAAAGTTTTTCTTGTGGCCCCTACATGCTTTATTTGTGATGAAAACAAGTTTCTTCTGCTTTCACCATCCTGGCATTTTCTGCCCCTTGTTCTCCTGCTCATATCGCTTTTTGTGGACTGCCCCTTCAGGCTACGTTACACTCGCCTCCTATGATTAAGGCAGAGACACTTGTCTCTTATGTGACACTTTGGGGGGAAAAAACATTTCTTGTGATCACATCTACTGCCATGAGCCTGCCCTCAGGAGACAGCCAAGAACCAGGCACAGTAGAGCATGCATAACAGGGCAAGAAAAACCAGGAGAACCAGCTGTAAGGTATATAAAGTATACACACATACGTGCACACACACGCAGATATATATAACATCTAAACAACATGATCTGAAAATATTTAAGGCTGAACTAGTTAAGCTTCAGCCAGAGAACGCTGCACACAGAACAGGGTTCAGGAGGAGGAACAAAGGACAGCAGCAGCATAGAATAAGCCCAGGGAATAAAGCAGCACAAAACGTAAATAGAACTGCATTTGGCACAGCAGGAAAGCGATGGATGAAGAAAAGTTAGACTGTTAACTTGATTAGAAATAAAAAATGAAGTGTTAATTTAAAGCTGAAAGTTATAAAGATCTTCAGCAGAAAGTTCCAATTTGATTATATCCTAAATCTAACACCTGGATGCAAGGGATACAATAGTCATTATACTGGCATGACCCATAATACTTGCATCAAACTCCTATAGGGATGTACACAGTAGCTGAAAGAGTATGCCAAACCCTTTGTCTACACTGAGCCATAGAGAGCTGTCTAATGAGACAAGTGTTGCAAGTCAGGAGTCAGAGACTTAAAACTGGCTCCAAATAAATCTTGGAACAAAGTAGAAGCCAGAACTGGATTCTCTCTCTCTCTCTCTCTCTCCCACACACACACACACACACACACACACACAGAGAGAGAGAGAGAGAGAGAGAGAGAGAGAGAGAGAGAGAGAGAGGACCCTGTTATTTAGGCAGAGTCTCAGACCAGACACAAAGATCTATATAGCTCTTCATATCCAAGAGGGCCCAAGAACAGGTCTGGAAGAGCAGGCCAGTCCAGAGTTCAAAAATTCGATTACAGTGGGTGAACACTCCAACCTACAATTCTATGGCAACTCAAACACACAAGGCAGCCCCACACAGAAATGAACACCCCTACATTCTAGCGGCAGCAGCTCCTGCTATCCCTTCTACGCCAGTGCTTTTGTAGGACATACCTGGCTGGCTGATATTAAGTCCAGGCAGGCCAGTCACATCCCAAGCATTTTCAACACAAATCACAGCATTATACACAGCTAGGAATTGAGCAGTCTCCCACCAAAGCTCCTAGCCCAACCTCCGGGGAACCATGGGCGTATTCAAAGAAACTAAGCAGCAATCATGGTAGAAATGTCAACCCGGTAAGCAGCTGTCTTCACTACCAGGTCAGCAGAGCTATAAAGGGAGACTCGGCCATGCACTTGGGGTCGACTACATTTTCACTGTGACTGACCTTTATTTTTGAGAATAAAATGCAGTTTTGTACTCTTACTCTTGTCATGCTTAATTGGGCAAAGAACGCCAGGTCCGAACCCCTTAAGTCCTTCACTTTCCTTTCACATTGCATTCCCCAACTTTTTTTCTCCTGGTGAAGCTCCAAAAAAAAGACGCAAACTCCTTGGGATAAAAATGGCTGTGAGAGACTGTTCTGAGGTCAAATGCTATCAAAGGAAGGTTGAACAACCTTCTCCAACCTGTCTTTCACATTAAATCTCTCTCTCTCTCTCTCTCTCTCTCTCTCTCTCTCTCTCTCTCTCTCTCACACACACACACACACACACACACACACACACACACTTACTTTATGGGAATCCAGTATGACGCACATGGATTGTTCCACTGGTCTGCCCCTAACTCAGAACAAGGGCAAGACTCTGGATGCTGTTCAAGAGGACTGACATAAAATGAATTGAAAATGTAATATCTAGAAATAATTAGGTAAGGGGGACTTAGGCTCTCTACCAAAAATGCTACCCAAGAAAGAAACACAGTTACCTTGACAACAGGGATACAATGATAAATAAGGTTCTCTCCTGCAACATCCTGAAAAACATAATTCTGCCTGCTCGTTATCAAACACCAATGTTACTGCTCTCACACCATACTGCAACAGACACTGCTGCTGCAGGCTCTCCTGATATTAGCATGCTTTAGGATTTAAATGACTATTTTATGCGGATAAAAAATACTGGGTAGCTTGAAAGAATTTGATTCGTCTTTTAAATCAGCTCTACGTGTTTTGCTTCATCAAACTTAAGATTTTACAACTAAGCTGGAAAGTATTTTGCAACTAAGCTGGAAAGTATCTATAAGACTTAAATGCAAGCAATATTGCATAGTGCAAAATATACACAGTATATCAAAAGGCACAATCCTATGCAAGTTTAGACAGGAAAAAAAGGCCTACAGTTCCCAGCATGCCTTGCCAAATTGCTGTAAGCCATCCTGAGATATTTATATATAGGACGGCATACAAAAGTTTTAAATAAATAAATACTTTTTAAAAGAATCATAACCCTTTCCTGTAAAAACAAGGAATTTACAGTTTTCACTTATAAAGTAGTACAGAGTGCTCAGAAAAGCAACTGAGTGTTCTCAAGTTGTTGTCTAGGCAAACTCACCTTACAGTTCTCATTTAGATTATTAGATGATCTCACCATGTACATTTAATGAAGTTGTGCCCTGCTTCATTCACGCCAATGTTTCACGTCCAGTTCTCCATTCCTTGCCGTTACAAGTGTCATTCTACATATAGTTATAAAAGACATTTACGCACTATTCTGCCATTTCAATGCACAGTATCTAGTTATGAAACAACACAGTCCATAGCATACATTGATACAGGTCTTAAATTCTTGGATATAAAATGCCAGATTCAATTCAGCAACCATTTAAATTATACCTAGATCAACTGACATACTGCTGGTTTAAGGCACCCATATAGACTTTTTACTTTTCCACATGTACAGAAATTGAACTTATTAGTGGATTCCCACATAGGTATATTCAACAAAATACAATAATAAATGTAGAGATTTAATCCCAAAACTTATATAGAAAGAAACCCTATCCATGCCCTAAGTCATTGCTGAATAATTACGTCAGATTGTTGTAAAAACCTAAGTTGAGATATAGTCATACTTAGACCAGGCACACTGAAATCAGTGCGACTTATTTACTGATTAGCTTACATTAAGGGTTAGGGTTATTGCAAGCCTATGCAAATGTAGTGATGCTGATTGGGACATGCTGGAGTTGAAACTTTTTTTCTGGCTACTTTTGTTTAAGATTTTACCTTTAAGCACTCAGTGCATTGCTAGTGCTAATACTAGAATAATCACCACCACAATATTTTATTACAATGCAGCAGTCAACTTTTGGCCCTCCAGATGTTTCTGCCCACAATTCCCATCTGCCCTCACCATTGGCTATGCTGGCCCATGGGAGCCATAGGCTGCAAGTTGCCTACAAGTTGTCCACTGCATGAGAGTAAATAATTGCAGCACTGGTTATTCCAGTATTAATAGTAATTTACTTAAGGACATCAAGAGCAGAATCAAAATGGTCCTTTGCTTTTTAACAGAATTACTATATAGCCACTGATTAGGTGAATAAAGAGAATACTGTGACATATAAATTAAATTTTAAAAATGAGTAGCATAGAATAATCAGGCTACAGATAGCACTGAATGTGTTTGTGTCCATGATAAATTTAGACAAAAAGGGAGAGTTCTCAAGAGGGCATCTGGCCTGAGCAAAAAGAATTTTTTATTGTTGAGAATGGCAGGAACAGAAGAAAAGCATCGCATGAATAAGACTAATAAAAAGAATACATAACATGACATAAAAATGCAATCCAAAATAAGCTTCAAATGACAGGATAAGGACAACAGACTATTTCTGAAACCAAAAGCTTATTGATTAATGTTTACATATTCAGGCTGACACCAGAAAGTTAATTTCCAGAAGGGCAAAGGACATAACTTGGCTTTAAAGCTTTTATCTAGCTGATGATCTCACAGACTGCCAAAACCTGCCTTTCAGTGAGAGAGACTTTCTAACGCCAGAGGCTGGTTTGAATCTGTACCAGTGAGCTTTGTGGGTTTTTCTAGAGCAAGAGAGGACCGTTTTAAGTCTCATCAAAACCCTGAAGATAATAATCAGTAAATCAAAATGGCATGAGGCTTTGTGAGGAGGCAGGAGGAGGAAATGTCAAATCTTATTTATACATGCCTTTCCCAAGGTGCAGCCTTATTTCATTTCCTAATACAATTCTAAATCCAACATGCAGTCATCCCACTTTCGTGTGTTAGTAATTTAAACCACTCCACACTTAATGTCACCAAGCTGAAACTCAGAATTCAAAATATGCACAGAATTCAGTTTCATGTTTGTATATATCAACCAAGGTGTTGTATCTTTTTAAAAGGAAACATTTGAAAAAAAAAAACAATCATAAAAATGGTCCCTAAACAAAACCAAGGAAATCATAAAAGAGCAAAAGAATGTGCTTTTCCTTTAGCATGTCAAGAAAATATCAGCCATCTTCCTTGCATTTTAATTTAATTACTTTTTTGTAATTTATTGTATGTTACAATTTCTACCTAATAAAGGGCATGATACAAAAACTGCCAGAAATAAATCTTACCTAAGGGTATTTCCATATGGATTATTCATAACTGACTGCAACCTAGCATAATTCAACCAGGTTGTAGCCCACTGAGGTAAATGAAAGGCAGAGATTTGCTCCAAGACAAAGGCTATGGTCCCCTTAAGTTTATGCATTCTGATCCATAATTGCTTCAGTGAAAAAAGAAGAACTTCTTTCTTTCCATCCAAGAGCAAAAGGCAATAGACATTGCAGAATAGGTTATCTAAGGCAGATAAAAAACAAAAAACCATGGAAAGGATCTGTTGGTGTGCTACAGTTAGTGCTATGGGGAGGGGGCTTGGTAGAAGAAACATTTGTACAACATCAGTGCCGCTTACTTGTATGACAAGCTTCCTTGAAATCTTGTTGTGCTGGTAAGTACTATTATGTTGCATTAGCAGAAACTAGCACTTGTATTACTTCATTAGCAGTGACAGTACTGTTGAATCTTCTCCCAAACCTTTCTCATGGCTACTATGTGCTACTGATAGTTCATTCTATTTTTTATTTCCAGAGATTTTACCTGTCCAAAGTGTTGTGGGAAATAGTAATGGATAAAAAAGCTACAGCTATTGGGAAGTACAGAAAGGGAACGAATGGATGAACGAATGAAAAGGCTGCTCCAAGATTATTTCCTTAGAAACAGGGCTCAGAACTCAACCTGAGACCATTTCTTTTGATTTGGAAGCCAATGATACCCCTATTCCCATAAATGTGGTTCTGTATGCACTTTGCACAGTATGGAAAAACCTCTCTGTGCACAAATTATTTGCCTCAATCTGTGATAAAAAATAGAAGAAGCAATACTCTACTGCTTACTTTCCTCTTCCCTTCCAGTTCATTTTTCCCCTTGTATATCATGTCTATTTAAAAAAGTATTAATTAACAACAACTTACAGAGAAATGGTTTTGTGAGCTTCTTGCAGCAGATACAACAGCATCTTATTGATTAGCAAATTTATTGCAGTGCCACAGTCACAGACAAGAACCTACTTCACCAAATGCATGAAATGTTATTCTCTTTTGGCATGAGTGCGCCTGCACACACAGAGAGAGAGAGCACCCACCAAAGGGCCATGCAGTAAACTGCAATGTACATTTGTATTACAGAAAATAAAGAAAAGCATTCAGTGTAGCATGTGGAGATGCCCAAAGGGAATATCTTTATATTCTTGAGCTCAGAGCAAGCTACCGCTTATAAACTTCTCTTATCTAACCTTGCACAGACAAATGCCTGGTCAAGAAAAACCATGACAGATCCATACCATAGCAAACCTTGACAAATCCCTGGATGATTTAAAGAGTGCAATGCAACATAACAGGCTTACACTTTTTCTTCCCCATAACTAAGTCAGTCCTACAAATCTGAGGATATGGCAAGCCCCTCCTTTTTCAGGAGAAAGCTTTTTATATATCAGAAAAAGACAACACATTGTTACAGAACACCCCTGAACCTTTTAGCCAAGACACTGTCCTACTGGCTGGGCAATGCTCGGAGTTGCAGTATTTTATCTGGAACCACATAGGATTGTGCCCTATTATAAAAAAATCATTAACAGCTGTCTTCCTTTGGGTTATACTAGATAAACATTCTGATTTATTACCCTTTCCTATTGATATGTTAAATGCACTCAAATGTTGAAATAATAAAACACCCCTTTCACTAGTCCACTGATGCACACATCAAAGGTTTATCTAAGCATTAGACACCCTAGGCTGATGAAACGAACCATTTTATTAACACTGAACCGCCACATTCTTACTAGGAGATTCCTCTACAGAAACATTTTCTCACCAATGACTATGCTGGCTATGGCTGATGGGAATCACAAAGTCCAACATCATCTTAGGTGCAACGAGTTCCCCAGCCCTGTTTTAAACAATGAAGAGCCAACCTGGCCTACTAAAAAGTGCATTCCTTCCTTTACCTTTAAAAGGGACATGTTTTCCCATGCCTTGCTCACCATGCTTATTAGTCCTTCTAATCCTTCTCAAAGATTTCACTATATAGAGAAATCAAACTCCTATCATCATCATAAATTGCTCTTCCCCCAGAGTTGTAGCTCTATGTGTTTGTAGCAGCAATAAAAATAACAACTGTATCTTGCAGTACCTACTATGCCACAAGCATTGACAAGAATCCACTTGATTAGATGTATACATGTACATGTAAATATCTGTATAAAAAGGCAAGAAAAAGACCAAGCACCACTGTTTTAGATGAAACTAAAAGCCAAATAAGGTTCATACCTGAAGGAGTGTCTCTCCCAGTATGGACCCTGAAACTGTGCTTAACATCTCAGAGTGCTTCCTCCGAGAGAAGCTTTGAAAGCTGAAACCAAGGGGAGAGCTGTTTCAGTGGTTACACCTTGATTATGGAATAATCTTCCCACTGATACTTGCCTGGGACAAGATCATATTTTCAGCACCACAGTAAGACTGCCAGTTCCCAGGCATTTAATGACAGTTCATGGAACATTTGTCAGCTGCATTTATCAGATCTATCATATTACTGAAATTGTTATATGTTAAATGCTATATTTTAAAATTTACATCTTAAAAATGCATACTATGTCTTGTTATCTTGTTTTTTTGGTTTGTTATTTTTGCCAACTTCCCAAAGAACTTTAGTTATTGGGCAGTAACAAAATCACAACAGAATGAATCCATGAAGCTGCCTGATATTGTCAGCCCACTGATATTTCCGGTTCTTGCGGAGGCTGAAATGAGTTTTAGATAAAGATTTTCCCATTTTCTGCTACTTCATTTGTTTGACTATAAATGTCAGGGCTGAACCCTGGATACAAGAATATGCTCTATGCACATAATATTTTGTTACCTTAATATATTTTAAGGAACTTCTTTTTAATATTATATTTGCAAATATAACACACAAGAAATAACAAAAGACAATGAGTTCACAATGACTTTAAGAGAAATTCAGCACTCATATCTTAAATATAGGCATTCGTATAAGTCAGACTTCTCCAAACTGGTGCCCTCCAGATGCTGACAAAGGAATGTTGGGAGTTGTAGTTCAACATACCTAAACCATATCAGGTGGGCAGACTGACATCAGCAGTTCAAACTGAGTTGGAAAATAAAGGATTTACATTTAAATATAGAAAGCAGCAAGATCCTCAAACTACTGAAAGATAGAAGATTAGTGTTTACCCTTCCAACCTGGCAATAAAAGTTTCTTTGCAATAACAAGGACTCTCAGAATCCACATTCACTGGCCACCTGTAAGTCCTCACATCACAGCAATATAATATAAGAATGCCTGGACATCCAAAATTACGAAAGATTTTTCTAAAACAATTATGAGCAATAATGTATGATGAAAAAGAAGTCACAGAGCATACCCACATATGCACCTCAATGAGGCATGATATGCATTATATCGCCAACATCTAGCAAAGCTAGCCATATTTTGAGGAGCATGCTATGTTTCAAAATAACAGCAAAGATGAAAATACCTCTGTAACTATAGTTATATAGGCACAAATCTTATGCATGTCTCTGCTGACTGACTGAGGCATGGAAAGTGTTGCAGATTTTATTTTGAGGGAGGCGGGGATCTAAACATGCATCCTAAGAATTTTTATCTTTTATGGCACAGTAATTTTGCACTACATTGTCCACCTCCACAAGCCCCTCTGGATCACAGGAGGTATAATCTCTGGGAGGGATAACTATGAGAACTCCTTTTCATCACATAAAATTTAAAACTACTGTGATCCACAACATAGCCTAAAGCATTACAGAAATGTATGATATCATGAAATGGGTCAGCAAGGTGAAGGTATATGTAATGTCTGCATCAGTATCATTTCGTGTTTCATCCTAGACCTTCCACTTACTTCCTGACCCTGTCTGATTTGTAACAGATTAATGTGTTTTTGCATCAAATTACCAATTACTTCACGCTTTTCACAAGGTCAGATCCAGGGCATTTGCTTAAGTATTAAACTACTGTTTCTTAAAAACAAGTTAATTCCATGGGTTCTCAAGCTCCTTGGCAACATATTGTTTGTCATATGAGCACTGCATGATTGTTGCGTCAGACCTGCATAAAGATACACATAACCTGAATTACCATTTCTGAAAAAAAATCTCCCAAGTCATAAAATGTTATGATGTTTCATATCATACTTGTTATGATGTTTAAAAAAAACCCTCTCCCATCACTGAATGGCACTTTTTACACCACTGACACTTATCTGTATTTTATTTATCAGTAGAAAGGTGCAGAGCTAGTAGCTATAGAATTATTAATCAAGACATTATGGCCATTCCAATTCACAAGGACGCTTCCTCTAAATTTTACAAGTCTTCATCAGGCCAAATACCATCACTGTGCAGAAATGATAAAAAAAAAATCTGTGTTGGATTCAGGAGGCATTCATTAAGATTAGAGAATATGCTGATTAGAGCATACAGGTACAAGTCCCAGTGGCAGAAGAATCATCAGGATCTAGTTCTTTTTAAAAATGTCTATCTGGCATCCTGTGAAAGTAACAAGCTCTAGAGCAGTGGTGACGAACCTGTGGCACACGTGCCACAGCAGGCACACAGAGCCCTCTCCATCGGCACGCAAGCGAAGTCGCTCCAGCATCACCCCAGCAGCCGAGCATCAGATAACAGTGCACATAGGGGTCACGCACACATGCTCGGAAAGGAGTAGCGGCACCAGGCAATGACATCACAAGCTGCGACTCATTAGCCACAACTCATCCGAGCTTTCGCATGGCTGGTCAGTGTACTGCCAAGGATATATGTATATTTGCTTGGACTGGCTGTGAGTTGTTTTTTCTAAACCAAAACCTGAGTTTTCAGGTTTTATTGCAGTGTTGGCACGTTGCGATAAGTGGGTTTTGGGTTGCAGTTTGGGCACTCGGTCTCTAAAAGGTTCACCATCACTGGGATAGGGTTAGAAAAACAAGGTGCCCTGGCATGATTTTGATGGTTGGAATGTGTTTAAATGCAGAAAAACCTACTCAAGGAGGGCTTTTTCAAAATCGCCCTCTTTTCAATGGAACTTTAACCCTCTATTAGGGTTAGGGGTGTGCACCAGGGTAGGGTTAGGGTTAGAAAAGCGAGGTGTCCCGGCACGGTTTTGATGGTTGGAATGTGTTGAGAATGGGCAGAAATGATGAGCTGCGCAGAAAAAACTACTCACGGAGGGCTTTTTCACAATCGCCCTCTTTTCCAAGGAACTTTACCCCTATATTAGGGTTAGGGGTGTGCACCAGGGTAGGGTTAGGGTTAGAAAAATGAGGTGCCCTGGCATGATTTTGATGGTTGGAATGTGTTAAGAATGGGCAGAAATGATGAGCTGTGCAGAAAAAGCTACTCAAGAAAGGCTTTTTCAGAATTGCATTACTTTCAAAGGTATTGTATCCCTGTATTTGAGTTAGGGGTGTGCACAAGAGTAGGGCTAAGCCAGTGGTGGCGAAGCAGGCACACAGAGCCCTCTCTGTCTGCATGTGACCCAACTCACCCCAGCATCACCCCAGCAGTCGAGCATTGGATAACAGCACACATAGGGGCCATGTGCATTCTCTGAAAGGAGTAGCAGCGCCAGACAATGAAGTCACAAGCCACAATTCGTTAGCCGCGACTCACCCAAACTTTCACATGGCTGGTCAGTGAGATGCCAAGCATGTATGTATATTTGCTTGGACTGACTGTGAGTTGTTTTTTCCAAACTAAAACCTCAGTTTTCAGGTTTTATTGCAGTGTTGGAACTTTACATTAAATAAGCAGATTTTGGGTTGCAGTCTGGGCACTCGGTCTCTAAAAGGTTCAACATCACTGCTCTAGAGGAACAGGAGAAAGCGTACAGAAACAGTTTGTAGAAACAAATTGTAGCAGAAATGTTTCAAATGCATACATCATGACTGGACTTTTCTTACATGTACATAAAAATCTATGAGCAGAACTAGTCTGCAAATTATAAATATGCAAATATGGATTACAACAGAATTAAACTGTGAACAAGTTAATGAAATCAGAAGCAAATGAAACCACATGATTAACATTCACTAAACTTACCAATATTGAACCAGACTAAAAAAAATTGAGAACCCAAATGTTGAGAACCTAAGAGACTAAATTCAAAGGATCATCAATTTTGTGTATCAAGATAAATCCCTTTTATAGATAAATTAGTGTCTTGAGCATGACAACTTATGCAGAGGCACCTTACTGCATTTCAAAGCGTGTTCCAGACATTTATTTATTTTCAAATGTCTACGGCACTCAATAGATCAACATGTCCATAGGGAACCAAATGTGTATTCCAAATAGTAACTAGCTGAATGCAGACCTGGTACACATGTAATGTGTTTGACTCAGGAAATACCTCAATATAATAGGAGAGAATGAACAACCACACTGCCAAAGGCCCAATATTCAGTCAATTCAACCAAATATAATACTGGGTAGGCAATCAATTAAGCCTCATCTCTCCATCTCTGTTCACCCCACAGTACAGAGAACTGCACGATTATTTTTGTCCTGTTGTTACTGTCTCTTGTTCCACATTGCTAATACATTCCATCTTACAGTGTTATGTAATAACCCCATGTAACAGTTAAAACTGCTTTAAAGTAATTAAACTGACAAGCTTGAAATCAGAAAAACTACAGAGGGAGGCACTCCAAGATACCTATTAGAAGAGAGTCCTTAACTAATTCTCACGAAGGGAAGAACCTGTAAGCCTGTTACTGAAGCTCAGTCTGAAATGGTTTTATACAAAACACTGAAAACACATTACTCCGGGGATTTTTACATGCAACAAAATAATTACATTTCAACTTACCATAATACTTAGAATATTCCACAGAGCTATACATACTCTGGCACACTGAAGAAGGCTGTATCACTTTACTCTACAAACAACTTTATTTTTTTAAGTAGAAGTATCTCATATACTGTGCTGACATTTACATTTCAAGGGGGGTATTTGAAGGAAGAAGCAATGCATTAAATCATATGCCTGTGATACAGAGTAGTAAGCCTTAAACATTTACAAGATAATTCAACTCAGTTGGAGAATACAACAGTTTAAAAAGTTATTTACAAGAATAAATTTGTGCAGTAATTTTCAGGTATACTACCATTTTTATAGAACATCCTATCAGCCTCTCTTAAAATAGCTTCACTGCAGAACTTCTTTTCATCTTACATCTAAAAGATTCAGCTATACTCTGAAGAATCACAAGCACATTTGGAAAGGCTTAAGTTAAGGCCTATAATGTCTAAATTATCTCAGTCTGCATAATAAGCTTATATGGCAGTACAATATTATCATCCAGATAGTACAGT